AACACCCCAATGATTCGTTCCTTGCAATGATTAATGCTCTTATTCTCTTACATGAAATGTTTTCTTTGAAATATTAAATGTGAAATCTAGACGAGTACTGTAAGCTTATCTTTAATTCTGTCCTACTCCGTCCGTTGTTTTGAAAATTTTTGATCACTGGGGCGATGTTTTGATTTGTTTGTTGATAAACACAAGCGCGCCCTCTCATTGGTTGAAAAGTGTCGCGTGACCAGTTGGCCCTGTCCTTAAATTTAGGGATATTCCAGACTGATAAAGGCTCTGTCGAAAAATCTTTTTGCTAAGTTGCTTTGAAATTTCTTTTTTCAAAACCAGTTGCGCCATGCGATTTCCCGCCAAAAAATCTCTACTTTCCCCTACCCCAAGAGTCCATGTGGACTACTTTCCACTACCTGGAAAGTCCGTATGGACGGACGTACCCTGACGTCATAACCAAAATTTCTCGGATGGGTAGTTTATCTTAGTTATGGTGCTCTGCTCGCGCGCGCTTCGTGCGCGCAAGGAGCTCCGCTATTAACAATAACAACAAGACGCTACAGAGCGTACACTTCGGCGTCGTTGTTGTTGAACTAATTAATTGTAAATTCGGAGGAATAGTAAGAAATCAAATATGGTAAGAGTAAGGTGTTAATTTGTGAAATTATGGGATTTGTCAGGATATTCTGAAAAGAGCAACACCCAAGATGCCTACTTGCCAAAAACTAGCATTTCGGGACAAATTGTCTCCGAGATATTAGCCCAGTTATGCTCTTATGACTCCATACAAATCCTTCTAAAAAAAACAATTCTCTATTTTTCTTAGTCACATCAGGCTTCAAAAACAGCATAGCAGTCTCATGTACTGAATAAAGATATGTAAGGCATGGGTAAGGAGTCAATTACGTTGAGCATGGAATTAACTAAAAATCAAAGTCACGAGTTCGAATGTTTGAGGATAATTATTCACTGACTATCAGCACGCAGGGATGTCGGATTAACACAAGGAAGTTGTTAAAGCTCTGTAAAGATAGCCTTTACAGAGCTTTGAAACACAGCATCCGCCAACACAAACTTGACTTGAACTTTGAGTAAAACTAAACAGCCTCTACCAATAATAACAAACTGTCACTTGAACTTCGGATATCTTGCGGCTTCCGCGAACTTGTAAACACAGAACCTGAAAATCGACCTTCGTCACACTTGACTAAACACAGCAGTCCAGCTCGTGGGAAAAAACTTAGTTCGTCAAAAGAACTCGCTTGGAACTTGTATACCGTTTGACATAAGGTTCTAGAAAATACCAAACAGGCGAATAGTAGTAGCTTTTCGACATATTTTATGATTTCAGTAACTGATGCAAATCTGCTGACTCATGCTGAAATGTAAACATGCCCTAATTAATTATTCATGGCTAATCCAAAAACGTAGAGAACGTTCGAGAAAGTCACGCAACGCATGAAAGCAATTTTACTACGTAACACTCAACAAAGACAAAATGTCTTTTTGCAGCATTTTGTAACTTTAAATTCATCATAAAACAGTTAGAAAGGAGGGCTCACTCGTGAAATGTTTTTCAACACTCGAAGAGAAATTTTGCGTCTCTGCGCGGCCATGAAATATCCTCTATTTATTCCTCGAGTAATTAAAGACTAAACTCGAATTAATCTCAAGATATCACGAAGTAGTCCGGTCTCATTTCGTGAAATAGTTGAAACAAGCCGAAAAGTCACGAACTTGCACGCCCAATCTTGTCCCGAAACTAGTGCATCATTTCATAACTATTTTTCATCTCCCAAACAACCTTGGGTCGCAGTAGCGCAATCGGCTAATCCCTCAACTTAGAATCTCCTCTGATCTGACGGGTCACACAGGTGCATGAGTCGGTTCAAACCCCGGGAAGGCCAAAAAATAAATTCTTTCTTCCTCGAAAAAGTTAAGGAATAAATAAAAAAATCGAAGGGATCTCGGGATATCTCGAATTAATTCGGCTCTCACTTCGTCAAAAAGCCGAAGAAAACCGAAAACCTACAGACTTTGCATGCCCAATCTTGTCAAAAAATTGTAACTTTGATACATTCCTGAGCGTCGCGAAACCTTTACTTCGCGCTCCGCCGAAGTAATAAATAATAAAAAGAACGATAGATCGAAAAGAATTTTTGCAAAAATTTATAATAACAAAATAAATAACATAACATAAAAACGGAAAATAAAGAAACAAAGAAAGAAAAAGAAACTGGTATCATCTCTGAGTATGAGAAAACAATCAGTTTTGTCGCAGTGAATTTTTTGGGCGAGTGAGGGTCCATTCAAATGACAGTAATGAGTGAAGGCTTGCTTCTAAATTCAAAATATATTAAAATAGGTCGCGGGGAGAGGGTTTTCAAGCTTTCGTCACACAGTCACCTCTTGTAAATGTTTGCCATGCGGTTTAACGGTTATCCATTTACGGCTTTGCGACCGTAAGAAGAGCTTAGGGGCTCGTCGCTTTGGACTTGGATAATTAAATTAAAGATTCACATTCGCCGTGAATAGTTGCAGTGGCAGTGGTAGCGCAGTGGTAGTTTCTCACTGTTATCAGTTAGCCTGAATTTTAGCCGTCTCCCCGCAAACTCCTCTTGCGACTCGAGTAGACGTCTGAAATATCATGCTGACTGTAAACAGTATAGAAACTACTAGGAATGTGAGTATTGTCCTCTAAAATCCAAAGACAGGAACCCTTATACTCTTCTCAAGTTCACAGAGCCGCCTAGTCTGTAAGTAATTCATGTCAACCTCAAGTGAAGCAAAGCGCCTCAAGTAAGCAAATGTCATTTATTTATAAGGAGACTATATGTTGGCTTGAAATGAGCTACTTACCGACTTGGATTGACATGAAATACTGCACCGACATTTCAGACCATTGCAGAACCGTAAATGGATAACCGCCAAATGATTAACTCATGGCAAACAATATTACAAGAGGTAGCTGTGTGAGGAAAGCTTAAAGACCCCCCTCCTCGCGACCCATTTTAATATATTTTGAATTTATAAGCAAGCCTTCACTCATTACTGTCATTTGCATGAACCCTCACACGCCCAACAAATTTTAATTTGTTGCGACTCAGAGAGGATACCAGTTTCTTTTTCTTGATTATTTCATTATTTTTCGTTTTTTTTTTGTTATTTTACGTTATTATTAATTTTTACAAAAATTATTTATTATTATTATTTTATTATATTTTTTTCATGAAGATTATTTTTATTTAAATTTCATGTTCCGGGATGTTCCGGAATGTTCTGGCATGTTCTGGAATGTTCCGTGTTCTGGGTTTTATCGACGGCCGATGGGACTGCCATTTTACTTGGTCATCCTAGCCAGGCCAAGGTCCAGCCGTTTGCAGTGCAAAGGGAGTACCTTCATTTCTCAGTTATTTTAAGACCCTGAGTATTGGTCCGGCCCGGGGAATTGAACCCCCCACTTTTCGCTCTGCAGTCAAGTGCTCTGCGTACTGGGCTAGTCCTGCTGACCAGAGATTTTAAAAGTTAACAAAAAGCTTGTTTGGTACTGTGTACCTGGTTAGCTTTTGTGTATTGCAGTAAGGTTTGTAAGTGGAAGCATTTGAGTTTTACCAAGTCTGTTGTTGTAAAAATCTGAGATTGTGAAAGAGACAGTTCAAGACCCAAGAGAGAAAGAAACGTTTGAAAGACTGTCAAAGACTTCTGACATTTTTAGACCCAGTCAGAATTTTCCCAGACCCATGATTTTCAAGGTTTAGTACCCTAAATTGCCACCTGTAAGTCCCCTCTCCCCCACTTAAAAGCCCTCCCTATTATAGGCCCTCCCTATTATAAGCCCATCTACCTGTAAATAAAGAAAAATACTCTCGCAGTTGTCAGTGGCAGTTTACGGTATTAGCATTTGTCACACCCTTGGTACATTAACCAAGCATTGGTACTGGTAAAGTAGATGCATGTAGATATCAGATATCAGTTGTCAGGTAAGGAAGGGTTGAACTACATTGGCAGCCTGACGTGGTTTGGCATCCAAGCCCAAGAACATACTGATTAGGGGTTTTCTTCTTGGTCTTACAACATTTCAGGCCAAAAAAAGCTCAACTTTGCTAAGACATCTCAGATGTAAGCAGGGCTCAAAAAAGATGCGGAATTTCAGCTTGTCATTGGGGCAAGCATCTCTTACATTTTGCTTGCCTGACTCACTGCGTCAATTGCTTACTTGTCTTTTAGTTAATAATTTAGTTAGAAGATGACTTGCCTGAATTCTCGCCCATTGGGCAAGTGCATTTTAACAGTCTCTTTCCCAGCCTGAAAATCTACCAGTTCTAGACTTTTTGCGAGGCCTGGAAAGAAATATATTATGTAAACACCTGTGAAATCCTCGGTAAGCTTCATGTGATATCTTAACACATAAAAATAACATGTTATCTTTGTACATGAAAAAATGACCATTGCTATTTCAATGCAGTAAGTCATGTCTTCCCAAAAATAATGTTTAAGTGAAATGGTTTGGTATTTCATCAGGTGTTTATATAATAAACCAAACATTACATGGCCTCTTTGAGATAAAACATTCCTGTTTTTGCATTGAAGATATTTCACTTATTTGCTGCATTCACTTGTGAAATATTTTTCAACACTTCAAGAGAATTTTTTTTCCATGTTGAAAGGTTGATTGGTTTGTGACAAAATAGTGCAAAAATAAGGAATCTGCAAAAGAGAGTGCCCAGTATGTGCTGAAACCCCATAAATTTATTTCACATTGGCACATAACCCACCAGCTGACATGAAGTCCTACTTCCCCCAGAGCTCTTTTGGGCTGCACCAAATTTGCTTGTCACTTCAACCAAGATTGATACTACAACAGTAACCTTTTCTTGTCATTATTTTGATGTCACTTGACTACCTGCGATGACAATAACTGCAGACACTACGATCAGACTCTCTCTTGTCTAGTGCAAAATTAACCCAAGTGTGCGAATCACCATGGTTAATCTTCAAATAAAGTAGCCCTTCATTCATAGGGGTGGGTATAATCTTTCATTGACAAGCTGCCTCAACCCTGAAGTGTGTCACAGAGTCTGTCTCCAAAGGTTAAGGTATGGCCACCTCCCCAATGTACCTTTGCGGTGGCAACTCGACCCTCTACTTCTTCTCTTTCCATTGTCCCAGTAGGAAAGTAGGGTACAATAGCAGTAAATGATCTGGCTAGTAACCTGAAATGTACAGTGTAAAAAATTGTAAATTGTAAATTGCTTTTTTACCCACGAAGCACTTAAGAGTTCATATGAACTCGTTTAAACGTGTCCGTGCATTCCAGATCAAATTGGAATTTGAAAGTGTTGGTTTTTAAGGAGAGGGGGAAACTGGAGTACCCGGAGAAAAACCTCTCGGAGCAAGGGAGAGAACCAACAACAAACTCAACCCACATATGGCGTCGACGTCGGGATTTGAACCCAGGCCACACTGGTGGGAGGCGAGTGCTCTCACCACTGTGCCACCCTTGCTCCCTCAAGTACATGTACTCATCAACAATACATATTTCCAAATCTATTATTACCACACCCCCTGCCTCCTCCATCCCTCTGATAATACAGTTTATTGGAAGGTAGCAGGTAAACCATGGATTTTCAAGCACCTTTTGTAAAAAACAGCTAAAAAGTATAATACATGTATGACGTCAGTACAATACTTGTTCATATTATGTTGTTGTTTGTTTTTCTGATGATAGGAGGATTACAGGTATTCAAATCAAAGTAAAAGAGTGAAATCTGCTATTAACATCAGTATCTATAAACATACCTCGGGATTTTGTAAAGAATAGATAGCTGTTCAAATACAACTTCTGGGGAGTGAAAACTGCCTAAAAAGATGACTGCAAAAAGAATCAGATGTTTACTGTCACCAGTGGCATAGCTGCCTTTAAGCCATTAACCCATTCGCTCCTGGAGATTTTGCCGAAAAACGCGTTTTGAAGCTAGTTGAGTGGTTTTTCTGGTCACTGTCGTGCTATAAAGAGCTAAAACTTACCACAAACCGGTTTACAGGTCGTACACTTGGCGGCCTTCTGATCCAGATGCAAAATATCAGCTTGCGAAGTTCGGGCATGCGCAGAAAGTGACACAGCAGTCTTGACTTTTACTTTTTGCTTTCTCTCCTCCCTTCTTTTTTCGCTTTTCTTGCCTCATTTTTTTTTCTCTTGCTGGGCATTTAGTAGGCTTCATTTTTTTTGAAAGATCTCTTCACTCTGCACAAGTTAGCGAAGAAAGTTGTCCTTGACCGTTAAAACTGATGACATCACAAAGGGTAAAAAGGACCTGAATCCACACGGGTGGTTACGGGCGGTTACGGGGCGAATGGGTTAAGCAAGCCTGAGCTTAACAAAAATTGGGGTTAAAATGAGCTCATGTAATCACATATGACAGGGAGTGATTGCACCTATACATGTAAATCAAACTTATGCCATCCTCTCTTTAATTTGTTACCATTTCATGTAATATTTTGAATGTTTCTTGTAAAGCACCATTGTGCATCGCTGGAAATGGTGCGGTCTATCAGAAAACAGCTGATTCCCAGGTGTAGTGCACACAAGCCAGTCAAGTGCAAAAAGGTATTTATGTCTCTTTTGAATTTAAGGAGGTGTAAAAACAGTCGACTCCCGATAATTCGAACCTTCAAGAGAAATAAAAAAAACGTTCAAGTTATTGGGAGTTCGAGTTATCGAGGGTAAAATTATATAGAAAACGACCTGAAGGGAAATGAAAATTGCTTCGAGTTAGCTGGAGGTTATAGAGGGTTTGAGTTACCAGGAGTCGACTGTAGAGATCTTGATAAAGAATTCAGAAAGGCTTTTGTTGAAAACTCACTGCTTACTACTCACTGTAGGCAACATTTTAAAGCAAGCAGGAACAGCTGTGCTGTAGTTTTGATGTTTACATGTACAGTTCAGCATCCTCGTGTCTCGCTATTTTGTCCTCAACCCCCTTCATCCTCCCCTCTACCCCCTTCAGGACTTCTACAAGTTGGGCTTAATAGGGAAAAATGGCTGGCTACAATGTACATTCCGGGTCACTTACAGTACACAAGTCAAATTCATTTCAGCAATTTTAAAGGATTGAAAAATATACAAAATGAACACTCGCAAATAGCTTGGCTAATTTAGGTTGGTATAGCAAATAAAATAGTCATAATAGTAAAAATCTATATCTGCAAGAAAATAAATAAATTTATAAATAAATAAATAAATAAAAGCATTCCTTCTCTGACCTTACATTCATAGCTTGGGTTGTTTTAAAAAATCTGGAAATGTTCCATAACTGGGGAATTTCTGTTGGACAATGCTTACCATCTCTTCCTGCACAATCTTGCTTCACATTTTCAATAAACAAATTTGGCCAGCCATCAGGGAATTGCTGCCATGATACAGATCTGAGCTCTACACTCTGTTGAAACTGAAGAAGTCCTTTCTGTAATAAAGATGTGGTTAAGTAAAGATGTTATTCTGTAACAATTCGGAAAGTAACACCCAGCCTATTTAACAGTTGGGTAACGGGAGGGCATGGTGGCAAAACTGAAAGACACAAAATATGGAACAACCAACTGTCAGAAAATGAAGAATTCAAAAAATAAGAAGGAATATAATACGGACAATAAGGTGTAGGGAGTTGCTTCCTTTCACTCTATAAAAGGCCCTGTTAACTCCTCTAAGTGTGAATTATTTTTGTAAAATGCAATATGGGGAACCTGGCAGAATATCTTGTTTGAAAAAGTCTCTTAGTTGTCAGGAAGGGTACCAAATTGAGGCAAATTACAGTTAAGACAAAACTCATAAAAAGTCTTGGACTTCGATTAGATCAGGGGCACCCAACGAGAGTATAGTTCAAAACCACATAAACATAGCATTGTTGAACGTACTTTAGTATTTACACGGTAGATAAAGGCTTATTTTTATCCCCTAAAAATGTTTCATCCGTTCGGATTTCCTAGCTGAAAGTATAGTGATCCGAAAATTATAGGGATCAAAATTTACCTTTTCGAAAATTTAAGCCAGAAAAAAGGCTCCCGAAAATTCTAGGTGACCTTTTTAGGATAAAAATCCGTTAAAAATGGGCAATTATACGATTTTTTTGAAGTTCGAAAATCCTAGGAGAGGTAGGCAAGCAAGAAATTTGTCAGAAAATGATCCGAAAATTCTAGACCTCAAATCGTCTTCCGAACAGGTAATTTTCCGAAAATTGTCGTTGGGTGCCCCTGTTAGATCTGCTTGAAAATTGTGTCAAAAAATGTCAAAAACTTTGTCAAGTGTTCTTTATAGGAACATTGGCCAAACAATAATCATTAATGACGTAAATTTCACTCCAGTTATCAAAAATCCACACGCCTCTTACAAATTCCTCTGGAATTTTCTCTTTTTTATGTTATAATTTAGTGATAGTTGGGTAGATATGGATCCAAACAGCTGTTACTATCAATCAACACACTGTCCTCTCGCCATTGACCACAACGTCAGGTGAAACAATATAGTTAGTAGACAGGGACTCAAACGTGTCCTACCTGTGTTACGATCGGTGATTTCAGTGCATGGCTGCATCTTTCACAAATACTTTGAGCCAACTGACTCATAGACTTGTGATAGAACAAAACCGCTGGTGGTCGGGGTACATAGCTTGCTTTTTCGAGTAAACCTGAGTCCGCCATCTTTTTTTGTTTCTACTGGTCGGACGAGTGGAAACTGGGGCTAGCATATGTGTTGTACAGTTACAATTTTCAGTTAACAGAAAATTCATGTCAATTTCCCTGAATAAAATTATGGTATCTTTTTATCTTGAAATGATACGAAATATAATTTCAGAAACAAAACAGCTTAGAGTCTTCAGAGAAGTCGTTGTGTTACCTGAGCCACCAGTCGCAGACACTGTAGCTGTCAGCGGTTTTCTTGGACAACACAACATTGCTCTTTAACTTTGCAACGATCGACTTTTTAGAGTCGATTTTCATCGAATTTGTAGAAGAATATTATTTTGACATGTCTGTGAGAACCATAGATTCACCTCCAGTGCATATGCTAAAACAAAGAGCTTCAAGGCGAAAGAAAATACGACATCGGCCTCGAAAATCAAGGAAAAAAGAACAGCTGAAAATCAGCTTTCAGGCGTCAAAAGTTCTTGGACCCCGCTGAAACAAGATTTGAATGAAAAGGTCTGTTTTTCGAGCACACTGTTTCCTCTTGTGTTATATTTACAGATAAATGTGAAAACAATTAATTTTGCAGCTCTTTGATGAAAGGAAAGAACTTGTCAGCAACTGGGTGAGTTTAAATTCATGCTACATCTACAAACTCGTCTGTAAACACCGCGAGCCCATCAGTATCACTGTTATGTCAATATTATATTAATCGCTTGTTATTCTTCAAAAAGTCATCTTCACAACGCTAAGTGTATAAACTTACTTATGGCTCCATACGTTAAGGATACGTTGACAAAGGAAATACCATTTATTTATTCTTTGGGCTTACTAAAAGCACCTACTTTTTGTAATGGATTTCTTTTATTAATTTTACAGTTAAGTTTTTAGCTCTGACAAAGGTATTTAGTAGTGTTTGACTTGCTGTTAAACAGTAATCTTATAAACTACCACAGCGTCACCTTTCTTTTTCTTCTTTTTTTCTGACTTAAATTTACTGGCTAATTTACTCGTCACAACCACCGAATTACAGCGTTTTGTATGAGAAATGATTACAACAGGCCTCGTATTATACTGACAAACACTTGTATGATCACAATAAAAGTATCTGTTGAATCACTTCATTTCACGTTTCAAAACTTACCACCTTTGTTTCAATGACTATGATGAAATCATAATAAATGAATAATGATAATGATTTCAGTTTGACAGATGGTCTGATGCTCAAAGAAGAATCATTCTTGAAATCCTTGAAATCAAAATGCAAGAACTCTCAACTACAATACACATTCTCTTTGATCGATGAAAGAATTCCTATAACTCATGTTGATTTCACACGGAAACTCCCATGAGTCATAACAGTGTACATTATGTCATTTCTGGATCCTCGCAGTCTTTGTCGCTGTGCACAGGTTTGCTGGTTTTGGAAATATTTATCTGAACTGGATCAGATCTGGATGCCAAAGTGTTTCAAGTTTGGTTGGTTATTGCCATTTGTACCGACTCCTTATGAACAAGGAGTTTGGAAGAGACATTACCTTGAGTGTGTGAGAGGATTACAGTACATGAGACCTAAGGTAGAGGAAAGGTTTTCTGTTTTGCTTTAATAATTTACTAAAAGCAGGCATAAAAACATGTATTCAAACAGGGCTTTAAAAAGCTTGAATTCCAGCTTGTCCTTTGGGGAAGCAGCTCTCACAGTTTGCCTGCTCAGGGCCACTTCTTGCTTGGGTTTGTTAATGATTCACTTGTCTTAGAAGATGACTTGCCTTGTCTCTCGCCCATTGGGCAGGTGAGCTGTAAAAGGTACTTACCAAACAAGAAAAAGACTTTTGGGACTCTTGGGCAGGGTTTTTTTTTAACCCTGATTGCACTCTCTCTGTCACAGAGTTTTCCTCTGGGTATAAAATGACATTACTGAAGATCTGCCAGATGTTTGAACCTGAGTTAAGGTTTTACGTAAGGTGGATAGCTTTATGTGCTGCAAAAAGCCTCATCCAGTACATAGGTAGTGCAACACTTATCCACTGAAATGGTGATTTATCAGGTAGATGGCCTTTAAATTTTGAATAACTTAAGTTTGTTGTTTATTAAAAAACAAGTTTTTTTTCTTTGTTCTTGACACCCTTGTATCTTGCTTTCATGTTCAGAGCCTATGGCTCCAAAAAACGTTGAGACAGTCAAACATCTCATAATGAACTTACCTCTACAAAATGGACACATCTTTTTCAGGGACAGTTCTTTTGTTCTCAGATGCAAAATTTTGTACAATCCCTTCCATTTTAAAGCAAAAACCTCTTTTCCTCTGGTGTCCACATTAGGGGGATTTCACCAATTTACAACACCACACTTTTAGATCGAATTTTGATTCTATTAGAGACCTTCTTAGGGAGGGAGGTACATATGCCTCCAGTCTGAATTTCAATTGCAGTCATTTTGCATTTTGAGTCCTGAGTAGGCCATGTCCTGACAGTATTTAACCCATCTTTATGTCGTTTGTGTCCATTTCATGTAGTCGTATGTTCCTGTTTCCAGGCCATGTCGCTTTGAGATTTTACCCTAATGGGACCTCTCTTTAATCTAGGAAATACATTGCCTGCATAGCAGCTGCTCCATCTCTTTTTTGCTCCTTTCACATGGTACATGGTATAAAAGAATGTTAAAGCTGACATTTTAGGAACTAGCTTCTTACTGGTCTGTGTTTCAAATGTAAGCTTTTGACCCTGGTCTATACAGTGGCCAATTCACCATTTTTGACCTCAAAGTGCTCATCATTATTTCTGTGTTTTGCCTCCCACCTCTAACAAGTTCGTTACTTTATCCTTTAAGCCCCTGACTTCAAACATTCGCATACAGAATTGGTTGAGAGAATCTGACAAAAGGTCAGCGCGTTTTCTCATTCATGATTATTAACTTATTGGTTCTCATAAACTTGATCATTAATTTATAATTAGGAATGAGGATTAAAACACAAAACCTTTCTTTAACAGTCACCACCAGGTTCTCCAAAGGTAGTTCCCGCTGAAAAAACAATATCACGGAGTCAGAGTCATGGCAGCCTGTTTAAAAAGACAAATAAAAAGCCAGCAGCAAGCCATGATGTCCCCCCCTGGAGGGGTCCAGATCCTCGTCCTAATGATATTAAAAGAAGGCTAACTACTGAAGGACATGTAGGGGGGTGCAGGTGAGTGTTACAGCTGCACATCAGTTTATCATGCTCTCATAACCTTTGTTGGGAATTATGCGCCAATAGTGTGCGTACATATTTCATAGTATATTTTTATCCTTTTTGCCTTAATAATATTTCAGTTTGATGGCAACGCTGATTGCTAAATAATTAGCTCATGATCTCCGATAAGTTCAAGGAACAGTCACAAAGTGAACCGTGATAACTGATAAGATATTTGGGTTCCTTAATTGATATCGTGGAAGTAATGCTAAATGTCAATCACTTTGTAACAATATAGGTTAGGTTTCATGTGTATTGGCATTTGGGGGAGTCGAGGGGAGAAGATCATGCTATCAAAACCAACTTGTTGTGCGGAAAATATTTGTGAGTGAGTGAGTTGCGAAAACTGTGACTTTATTGTGAATAAAGCTACATCAAAGAGATGATCTGCTGATGTTGTTAGGAGAAAATTGATGTTGGTCAGTCTTGAGACCTAAAGGGTTAAAGTGGAGTACATTGTATTCACAGGACTGTGCTTCAAAAGGGCCCTATGGCCCCAACCTGGCCCCATTTCTTGCTCTCACCTCGGGCTGGTCAGTGGTCAATGTCTGGCCAAGATGACCATTTGTCCAGAAAAACGTTGGGTTTGCAGGTCATTTTGAGAAGACATATTTAAAAATAAGTGACCAGCAAAAAAGATGTATTTTTACTCCATCCATTAGACTTCTGAGGTTTCTATCATGAGGACAAGTATGACTATCGTTTTTCACTTAACGTTTGCTTGTAACGATAATAATTTTAACATTCACTCGATAATCATTGACCAGTCAGAAGAGAGACATGGCTGAGCTAAAATTTCTTTGGCCAGTCAAATACGACCGGCAACAACTCAAACGTTTTTGAGCCCTGATGTCTACCTAAAACTTGCTCATGTCCGACAAAATCCCAAACTCATTCACAGGGGATTTGCACAGTAATTAAAGAGGTTATAAGTCAACCATAATGTATTTTCAACAGATTTTCTGGTGTGTGTATGATAAGGGCAGTGATCTGGCCGGAGATATGCCCTTTCTAAAAGGAAAAATCTATGCAGGCCGGAGCATCGGCGTAAGCAACTTTTCCCACAGAAATTAAGGCAAGAAGGGGGCAAAAGAGAAACAAAAAAGGAGGCCAGAGCAGGTGGAAGAAGTCAAGGTGGTGCAATGGCATTCCGTTTCTCCCAACTTGAAGTCTCGAAAGTTTGCCTCCTGTTTATGCCTGAACTTTAAAGAAAACCTGTGAATTGGCATCAGAAAGAAAACCCAGCCTAGTGCTTGACTCAGTTGTAAACAATGTTTTCGAGAACAAACCGTACATACATTGACACTTTTTTGTTTTTGTTTTTGTTTGTGTCAAGACGCTGCCATATGTCTTCACATACAGAACACAGTGATCAACACGAACAGACGCCTAAAAAGGGAACAACCGCTAAATCTACCAAACCAAGAATACGGCCAGCTACGGTAAGACTACAGTTAAACGCTTTAGGAACCCATGAGTCATCTCATACTAGCTCATATTAGAGTAGGTGGAACATTTTGTCCGGGAGAGTATAGCCTGAGAAGACAACCTACATTCCACGACGTTACCAGTGATTTTCCCGCGAAATGGTGTCTAAGAAACGACTGCAGATATTCCTTACTGATAACGTGTCACTACCCAGATCTGTTTAGTGCTTCTCATTGGTCCTGCCAAGAAGGGAACTTTGCCTCAACCAATCAGAAGAATAACCCAGATCTGGGTAGTGACGCGTTGTCCGTAGATGTCATTTCGTGGGGAAACCAGCGGTGGCGTCACTGTAAAATCACCGGCTGTTGTCTCAGCTGCAGAGAGCGTAGTCCGAAATACGACTGTTGTTGTTGACTGTGTGGTAGCCATCTTCTTACAGTGGCCTTATTACAGTAGTTCATTTTGTATGATCATACTCAAATCCTTTTATTTTGAACACAGCCGACTGGAAAAACTTGCTTATAACAGTGACACTGCATGCAAGTAGAGTAGAAGAAATTTCGATTTACACTCTTTGGAAGAGGATTAAAATCGATGTAACAAAAAAAAAACTAACAGGTGAAACAGGATAGAAACAGAAGAAATACATTTCCTACAAATTAAGTCTCGGTGGGCAAGCATAACCCGTTCTTTCAGGGTTATTATTCATGCAAAATTCATTGACAGGTTCTATATTTCGTGAAGTTTACTGTTACCTAAGAGTCACGAATTAAGTAAAACAGAACCCGTGCAGTTTGTGTATCGAATGTATCATTCGTTATTTTTAACTTTTCAGGCAAATTTTGCACCCGAAACTGAAGCAGCAGGGACCAAGTTTAACAGCAGATCTGGGCGCCCTGACTGGGCGGTACAGGCAGCCATAACTCCTGTCCGAGCAAATCGCCCACCACCCCCAGAGCTGAAACCCTCGGCGCAGTCCCTTGGAAATGCAAGAGGGGTCAGAGATCGACCAGGTATATACTAGTTACACGATGCTTGTGCGTGATATACTGTGAAATACTTCCAGAGTGACTCACTATAGTAAGTTACGTACATATATACTAGTTCATATTTTGAAGAGAACCCGTAGCCAGGGATACTGCGGAATATGCATCGTTTTTTCTTTTCTGCCCTGTATTCTTCAGGGCATTGGATAAGTGCACGTGTACAGATACATTTTTTTTAAGCTGTTGAAGGGGCTGTGTCACGGCAGTCCAGTTCATTTTGTTTAATTTTGCCAATTACTCGCCCTCAATGGCTATGGAACTTTAAGTAAGCAAAGAAATTACATGTACATGACAAAATCAGGGACCCGAGACAAGCAAATATGTCTCCTGAGCATTATTTTTGAAGTTGCAAGCAGCAGGGATCAATTTTGAAAAACTGTTAGGTTGAACAGTTTTCAAAAATCCTAATTTTAATCCGTTTCAATCTTCTTCAGTTTTGCCCATCCGTGACATCTGCTGTATCTGTTATGTTATTTTAACCTTCCTCTAAAGTTTTAAGCGGTTATTTTTATGTTTCTCTTAATTTAACGGGCATGATAATTTCCTAATTTGGCTGAATTTCGTGACACATCTCCTTTAAACCTGTAGAATAAAAGAGTTCAAGGTGGTGTGTAAATCAATGTGGGCTTGGCTTTAGCTTTCGTTAGAATGATTTCCTTGTACTCACAACTGACTCAACGTGTACATCGACTAAGTTGCTTTTCTTTTACACTTCTCTTCTTTGTGCTACTTTTATGTAAAGCTACGTGCGAGGCCTCGTTGACCCCCAGTTGGGTGTGGTCTATCTGTCATGGGGATAGGGCCCGCAGTCATTGGCGTCATGCTGTTGAGTTGTCCTTGCAAAATTGGCAAATCTAAGTATACAAATATGAAGCAAATAAATTCAAATTATCTTTCTTGTTTTAGGCGCGGAGTTGTTCAGGAGTCAGCCTTGGACAAGACCACCCGACTATGACTCTGACTAAAGATACAAGACTGACATTTTCCACTTGGTTACAAATTCAATTCCGGATAGCCATTTCGTCCACTTCCTGGCCAATATAAGAGAATAATTTTAGTTTTATGAAAAGTTGAAGAATAAAAGCACAGTAAGAAACTCTGCCAACAGATTTTATAGACAAAATTGACCAACTAAGGAAAATGTTTTACAAGGAATGTTTTATAGTCATACTTTATACAAATCTTTACCTATACTTAGCCCGTAAAGCGTCAAAATATGTAAGCAAGTAAATCTTAGTAAAAAAAAAAGAACAGAATACTTTGTATATAAAGCTAGTAAGACAACCAGAATACTGTCGTGGAATATATTGTTCATCCTGTTAATACTATTTTAATGATATTATCATGTTGAACTTTGTTTTCCGTTCTACTGCAGGGTTTTATAACTAGAGTTTGTTAAAGAAAACGTATTTATTGAATTTTTTTTATTTAATGTAATATAGCAGGGGCTCTTGAATATAGCAATTGAAGTACGTAAGAGGGTGAATTAAGAGGTCAATAAAGGTTCATAAGGTCATTTATGCAGTGCTAGATCGTTCTTTGAAACTTTTGAATCTGTGGATGAAATCCTAAAGTGTGACCATTCAAATGAAAGCTACTGAGCAGTACTTTCCTGTGGTACTGTTTATTATGCTGTACAAGGTGGTTCTAACTTTTGAGTCTGTGAATGAAATCCTAAAGTGTGACCATTCAAATGAAAGCTACTGAGCAGTACTTTCCTGTGGTACTGTTTATTATGCTGTACAAGATGGTTCTAACTTTTGAGTCTGTGGATGAAATCCTATGGTGTGACCATTCAAATGAAAGCTGATGAGCAGTACTTTCTTGTGGTACTGTTTATTATGCTGTACAAGGTGGTTCTAACTTTTGAGTCTGTGGATGAAATCCTAAAGTGTGACCATTCAAATGAAAGCTGCTGAGCAGTACTTTCCTGTGGCACTGTTTATTATGCTGTACAAGGTGGTTCTTACTTGTGGAGTCTGCGATGGATGAAATCCTACAGTGTGACCGTGCTAAGCTTTGCACGGATTTAGAAACAAAATCCTTTGTTTATTTAATTTATTAAATGGAGTGATGGATAATTCCTTCTCTTTGATCAGCTTTGGAAATCATTAGGCCTTTTGTTAAGACAAAATGCAAATGTTGTTAAAATAACGCCTCAGTGCTTCAACAGAAATGACAAAAAAAAAACTGCAGAGAAGAACAATTTAAAAAAAAAGGTCAGAAAAAAATATAACTTTTTATCTTATTCTACCAAAACTGAAACATGAACTTAAAATTCATCCATGATACCGAAAGACAACAAATATTCAAAGAATCGCTATTCAATTGGTTTCATTCTTCACCTTTGAAATTGGTGTTCACATTAAAACAATTAGTATATCAGCAGTAGGCGGTTTACATTAGTGGCTTTAAGTTTTTAATGTAAATAGGTCTTGCGCGACCTCTTGCCACCGGGATTATCGATTTTAGATCTAAAAAGACTTTTTATAGTGAGAAGTCAGTCGACAGCTAAAAAAAAGCCCCGATAACGAATAACGAATCGCGATTAAGTGCGAAAGATGATATTTAGCTGTCAAGATAAATCTTTATTCTTTATTAGCAGAGAGATGACTTAGAAATGCGTCTTGACCTTAGATATTGCAATTGCTTGCACGTAATAAAATATTAAATTATAAGAACTGTAATGTTTGTAAATATTTAAAAACGACAACGCGGATAATAGAATTCTTCAGTTTTTGTACAATTTTCTATTTGCATCATCTCACACACATAATTTATAATTATGTACATGTGATTTTTTCCGCCACCCACATGGCTGAATCACGCCATGCCAATAAACTGATTCCTTTCCCATCGCCTACCGTCGGTTGGGTAAAAATAAGAAATAATGTCATTACAAGCCGTCATAACGAGGATTTTGCTTGTAAAGGCAATTTCTGTAAATGTTTAAACACCAGCATGCTTGCAGAGAGCACGAAGGCAGAATGTGACGTTCACTCGTTTCCTGTCAGGCATGAAACCCGGCTTTAATACCCGGCAAATGCGATATGCAATTACTGAACTACATTTGACGGCTCACTGAAGTAAGGACTGTATTCTTGGAGTAAAAAAAGAGTTTATTTTCTGATATCTTTTTTGTCCCTTTTCAGAAAAATAGGTTGGTGAGACGATGAAAATTAACAACAAACTATGAACATGACCGTTACTAAATATCGTAGCAGTTTATCTCGCTCCAAAATGACTTTTTAAATCTTTTTTTCAATACTCACACCTTCTAAAAAGTTATTTCCCCTGAAGGAACTGTTACCTCTGTTTTGACTACGACCGTCTTCCGAGATCCAAACTCTTACTTGGAAACAGAATTCCGTGGAATTCTATCAATCAAACGGTTTGATCGCAAGGGTGGCCAGCAGGCGAAAGCTGGCGCTCTTTGTACCGTTTGATTGATGGAATTTTATTTCCAAGTTGTCTTGATTTCGAAGGTCTCGTTTTCGTGAAGCAGTGAAAATAGTGGTAAACGATTTTTATGGTATAGACCACAAGGTACAAGCTTGTGTATTAAGAACCATCACCATTTTTAGTTGCCTCCATACATAGGCTTCAAAGCCGTTGTCAGTTCGAATTGACACTCAATTTGCAGAAAAACTCTGACTGACTCCAGCAGGCAGAAGTTGCTCACACATACTTAGCAAGCCAAAAGCAAAATTGTTCCTTTGTAACAAACTTATGTAACCCTATGAATTTTAAAAAGGGTTTCACTGGATCAATACACAATTGTCAAGGTGTTCTGCTCACTACATGCTGGTATATTTAGCTTTGTTTCAATTCCATGGTTTGCGAAAAGCCACAGGTGCTTATAATTGGAAAGATACGGCCAAATCCCGGCCACACAAAAAGCCCAGACACACAGAAATGGTTTAATTTATCCTTCTAAGAACGGTACGCCGTCACTGATAGCTTATTTCCAAAGACCTCCACTTCAGTAGGGATTTCATATAAGCAATTAACTCAACCCCAGTGCAAAATTTTGTCAAAACCATTAAAGATTGCTAAGTTTTTCGCCCTTCTTGAATCACAGGAAGGCCATTAACACTATTAAAACCTAAATCGTCATTTTTCTCCATAGGGTAATCAAACAAAGTTTCTTCGTCATCGTCAAAGCTTTGAGTTTGAGAGTGACCTTGAGTTTTTTCTGAGACATCACGTATCCAATTTATGATGCGATCTTCTTTTGAGTCACCCTGTTCAGAGTCGCTCGACATTCGCCTTAAATTCCGATGGTGAATCCTCTGGTTACGATGCAATCTTGGACTCGGTGGAAGACTTCGTGCACACAGTCGTGGACTGTATTCAACCTCGGGAGAAGAATCCGCAAATCCAGCGCTGTGCCGGCGCAGGTCAGCACCACCAATAATCGGCCTTAAATCCAAGCTGAGAGAGAGTCTGTGTGATAAGTTAGAAGGTGAAATTCTGGATGTTCTACCGAAAGAAAAGACTGAATCAGGGTTTCTACCCGGACTGGGGGTCGGTGGTCTGTTGGAATACAATTGTTTCCCACTGCTGTTATTCGGTATCCACTTGTAGTTATTGTTCTTTCTCGTGTCGTTGCTTGAAATCGGTGGCAGTGAAGATTGTGGAATATCAGTCTCACTGCCCCACTGCCGTTTCTCCAGACATCTTCCTAAAGGGGATTTAGACCGTTTAAAATCATCCATTACAGAAATTCCGGGAAGAAATTTCATAACAGACGGCTTGGATGGCAGATCGATTGGATACTGTTTCTTGATTTCCATGATTTATCTCTTTGTTCTCTCAGCATGATGAAATGAAGGTATAAACACACTTTTACTCAGTACTCTCACTAATACCGTTCTAGAAGAAGTTAGAAAAATAGATTCGTGCAGTATTAAACGTGATACGTCCGGCGTCTCAAGGTTGACTTGGTCGGAATTCGCTTGTATTCTTTTTCACCCGGTTTATTTTGATCGGTAAACAATAGAAGTGTCAGCAAACTCCTTTATTTCGTTACCTGGGATCACTTTACTGAATACACGCCTCATGTAAATATCTCTATTGATTGGCACAGAACTTGTTATGGTAATTGCTTTGTTTCCGGGATCATTTAATTTATGTTTTTAACACCATGAATATATGCCGCTTTAATTAAATAAATATATTTCATTTACTCACGGCGCAGGTTATTATCTTCATCAGATGTACACAATGCAATTCGTAATAAGAATTAAATAAATCGATTAAATGTTCTTTTAAACAAGCGAAGTGAATCAGTACTTTAGCCATAAGTCGGTCAAGAGACTGACTCAGCAGAACTCAACAATACTCGCTGAGTAGTTGCGGTCACCAATACTTGCAGCGTCTCATACCTACAGCCTCGACTTGAAGTCTAACTGGTGCACGTGCATCTGGCATGCTGAATGGGTTCCATCCGTTGCATCGTATGCAAGTCACGCGAAGTACTCTAGATTCAAGAATGAATGAATGAACAACTTTATTAACGAGTCAAAATCTTCTAGCTGGCCACAAGTAGCATGCTAATCGGGGACTCCTAGATTCACCAGGCTCACCAGACACCAGACTTATTCGATGTCACCAGACTCATTCAATGCGTGTCGTGATATGGTTATAATATTGGAGGTGTTACCTAAACCGCCCCCATCCCAGTTCTTAACCTTATTTCCGTTACTTGACCCGACCTCCAGTTTACGTCATAGCTGTTGCTAAGCAACATGAACCAACTTTGGTTGAATACCAATAGCTCAAAAATATAACGCATACAAGTACAGTACAACTTTATTTGACTTTGCTTATTTGCTTATATATATATCCCTGTAATAAAAAATACGCCTTAAAAACGGACGTTCTCCAGCACCCTCAGTTATAAAGAAATGAAGCTGGCCCTTATTCATAGCTCTATGATTTAATAACGTAGTTAACGAAAAGACTACAAGACTCAGAAGCATCCGCGGAATTAGAAGTACTATCACTACATGCCGTTTGAATTTACAACGAATATCTAAGAGCTGGATAGCACACTTTGTACTTTTGAAATCTTCAGCTATGTGTGAAAGCAATCTTTTTTAATTACTGAAGCAAAATGTCATAATTTGTTGAGTTCATCACAAGTTGCTCTGCCATTATTGAACGCAATTATGAAATATTTCTTCCATCTCCTTTAAAACGTCATCCGCTGTCAAAATGCAACGTTGGCGCCAACATTTCGTCATCAATTCCCAACAAGCATCAGTGGTGTCGGCGGGGCGTTCTGGATAAATTTCCCTTTCAACTGCCAGCTTCATGGCCGCGATAGTGCTGTACCTATCGTAGGCTCGAGGTCGATGCGTCCCAGATCCTTCGCAAAGTACCCAAAGCAGGACACCAAAAGCATAGATGTCATAGGACGAGTCGCTTGACAAACCTTTACTATAGTTTTTATGCATCTCTAATGAGATATGAAAAGGTGTTCCCTGCCGCGTCCGTTCAAATGGCTTTTCTGGTTTAGACATATTAATCTTTGCTGTACCGTCTCTCATCAGCTGTTGTCGGACGAATAAACACAAAAATAAATACTAATTAGTGGTCAGATTCAAGGGTGGGTTGTTAGTTGAATTATATGAAAAAGGTACACAATATTAGCCATCTCAAAGGACAGAAACAGTTAAACCTGAGAAACAAAATTATTATTTAAAAAAATTATTTAAAATTATTTAAAATTTCCCTTGCGGCTAAATTTTTGTAAGTCGTATTAACGCCAATTCAATTAGCCTTTGCCAGGCTCTCAGATAGTAGGGACGTACTCACGAAAATAAAACTAAACGACTGCAGTATTACCATGGAGCCTGGAACAGCAGGCTACATGTCAATCAAAGTTGTTCTTTAGAATATCAGTGCTTTTCTGCAGTTCAATTTGTTCGGTTCAAATCTAGATTTTGTCATTTTGGAAGATAACTTGAGCTAACATGTTAAAATTTGAACTGCCAGTTCAATATAAACACTAGTTTTGCAAAACAACTGATAATCACTTCTCCGTTTTCCAACTAACGATTTCCTCCATCAAAAAATCTACGTTTCCTTAACATACCAAAACTGAATCTGCCTTGATGTCCTGATGTATATAAAGTGCTTTATGAACCGCTTTTACTCCATTGATTACATCCAATGCTATCCTCATTCTGGTCTTCAGCGAAAGCTGACCCTGTTGAAGGGCGGTGGTCACATCTGCATCGGCCTTTTCCGTTAAAACATGAATAACCCCGGGCTCAGGGATTAACCAGCCATGGACAAGGAGAAGGTTACGATGAGGCTTCCCAATAGTTGCCTGTACCTCCCTGTCAATAAAGTACACATACAGTACACAAACCAAGTTTTTCTTCATTAGCCTATGAATATAACGCTAGCATTATTTGCGCGGTGGGTCTGATGAGGAGTGGATGTGGAGTTTGGTGGAACAGGATGGAAGTCAACAAACATGGGGCTCTACAATTGCTTTTGTTCCAAACTACAGTTTTTTTTTTATTACACTTCCAGAAATGCAACCACTTTTTTTTAAAGAATTCCTATAGACTCTGATGCACCAGGGTTTAGAATAACCCTGTGTACTAAAATATTGTCCCTCTAAACGATCCCTAGAGCCTTTGCGGTAATAAGTCGTACCAGTTCTCCAGCATGGAAATAAGTCGCAGATGGTCACGAAACGGTGTGGTAATGTTTCAGTTGTTAGTGCCAATAGTATAAATAGAAATCGAAGTAAGAATGATGGTCAAGGGTTGCACAATAATTTTCAAAAGAGTAATTTCAACGCCAAAAGTGCAGTAAAAATCTTAGATACAGAATAATCCCGTTTGGAGGTTATTTTAACTCTATGTTTTCTCCAATTCTGGATCTTTTTTCTCTTTGTTTGAGTGATTTTAACTCTACATACAAGAAAATAACTATGTTTTGGACTGAAATCAGGTCCGAAATATTGACTCCACTTTCTAAAAGGATCCTTAGGAGGCATAAGTATAGGAGGTACGGTGTATTAAATCTCTCCGAAAAAACACTGGCTATTAGTGTAGTATCGATCTTTTACTCCGTTTTTTTGCACAGGAATCTCATTAACTTACTCAGAAATATATAAACACCGATGACTTAATAGCCTTTTGTCTTTATCTCATGAAAAATTCGGTGGATTCTCATTATCTTCCCTTTTGTGTATTTCTAATATTAATAATAGGAAAAAAATAGTTCCACGTAGCCTTGGCCAGTTTAACTTGCTCGCTATGTTTTAGTTTTATTCAACCGGTTTGACAGATTTTCAAGTAACTCAGTTTGAGGTCGATGTATGTCTTGGTTTTTGATTGGTCCGCTTGGAACTAAGAAAAGTATTCATTTGATGATTCCTATTGTTGAAGGAATAAGCGCTAACTCGCCTGTGACTAAAAATCTCTGAGTCGTAGACTAACGTGATTATACAAGTTTGTACAACAAATTGTTCTAGTCCAGGTTCACTGATTCATGGCACGCAAATCGTGCTTAGTTAATAAATGAGGAAGAAAGCAAATTATCATTCGAAGCAAATTTTTCTTTCTTTTTATTGGCCGAGAGCCCACCACATGACCTGCAAATAACTGCCTACAAATGATGGTCTGCTCATGTGCAATGCCGTCCAAGTGTTTGGCCGCAAATAATATTCTGCTCATGCGCAAAGGAAACCGTACTATTCTCCTTCTTGCGATCGCTCTTGCGTGAAAATGGCAGATCGCTTCGCTTCCCAAGGATATTCATTTAAAAAAAACTCGGTGATCGAATGATAAAACAATTATTGAACTCGATTATCGCAAAATATCGTGATTTGTCAGTGTCTCAATTGATCTGCTCGCCACAGACAAATCACGATATTTTGCTCAACCTCGCCCAATAATTGTCAATCAGCTAATTCTACCACCCAAGATAATTTTTTACTTTCCCTACTCTCTTTTTTTTGCTTCTCGACATTTTAATTGTTTCCCTCCACCACCACCATCAGCACATTGGCGTTAATTATATTCCTGCGTCAAAAAGATTCATTGCATCCCTACTAGTATACTACTCTGGGCGGCCTCGAATGACAAAGATATTGACATTGTGAAGTGGTAAAAGGCAATAACGATAGTAATGTCATGACGCATTGAAGTGATGGAAACCGCAATAGTTACAGCAACTCTTACAGTGTCCGTAGTAATTGCTATAGCTATGGCAGCTTTAATGAGCAAAATTTTGTCACTTCAAAACTAAATTGTTGCTTACATGGTGTTAAAGAGGTCTATTGAGGTCTGTGCCCACACTTCTGCCTCCACCTCTTCCTCTTTGATCACTTTCATCACGCATGCGCCACTGGTCGATTCATCTACCCAACCAGCACACTCATGAAGCTGCCCATGTTTTGTGACTTTCAAAACTGGACCCAGTAGCAGCGGTCCCTTGGTTAACAGGAACTGCAAAGCGAGAGCTTTCACGACCAGGTGCCTCACTGTGGGAACATACAAGGTTGCCATTTCCTCCATTTGTTTAGAGGTCTTGGTTAAGGCGAGGTCGCTCACTTGACTGAGATCATCAATTACTTTAAAGAAAACTTCGTGCATTACTTCCAAAATTTTCGTACAGGCATCACAAATTGACTCTGAGATGGCTTTGCTGTTTAATTTTGAACACAACATTTCCATAATTTTTCTTCTACTTTGCCGGTCCTCTAGATTTAATTGCGCATCAGAGGGAGATCTCCATTCAGTCACCACGCAAATTACCCCTTCCATCAACAGCCTTTTCAAGATTTTCCTCATGGCAAGAATTACCGTCCCTTTTATGATGTTTAGACCGCCAACTTCCGTTTGTGGCATGGCGGAGCTCTCTGTTTTAGGCGGCCCTGATCCATACGCTACCTTGTATGCAACTTCTATGAGTGGATTGCAAATTCGTCTTGAATGAATTTGAACGTGGTCGGTTATTCCTTTTAAGAACTCTTCAACAACACGTTTTAAAACATTAAAGGTCCTATCCAGGATCACTACTTTCATGCCGACCAAGAACAGCAGGAAAGGGACGTCCTCGTTTTGAGGGGAGAACTCAGGTTTTTCTTCATCCTCGTTGTTCCCCACAAGAAGTAGATAATACGTCCGCGCGTCTACAGGCGCTGTCAAAGCACTCTGTATTTCACGATATTTATATGATTCTGCAACCGACATGAATCTTTCTTCAAGATTTATGAGACTGCAGTTTACCGACATTCCCAGTAGTTTGTTTTTGTCTGCAACAGCGGACATCAGTGCGCTATGCAATGATTTTCCGATACTTTTAGCGGCATCATAGTCTAATGAACTTCCGAAGAGTGTACCTGTTAGAGTCTGCCTTGTCCTTTTCATGGCCTGAACAAGAGCCATTTGGAGGAGAATTAGCTTGCTAACCACTTGTTTGGCCTGTAGTTTGACAGTTTCGTCCAAAATCGCCAACAACCCCTCTTCAAACCTGGCGAAAGCCTCTGTTGCTTTGCCACCTCTCTTGTTTAATCTTTCTACTCGGACATCATGTGCTGATATGCCATAAAAGCAGCCACATGTTTCAAACGAATCGTTATCATCTATGAGGCCGTCATTTTGTAACTGGGAAAAGACAGTTCTCTGCTTGTCGAATTCTATCGTCGTTTCTTCGCCTTCCGAATCGCTCTCATCAGAATCTCTGCTGTAGTCGAATTTTTTTGCTTCTGCAGACGTGTCTATCTTGTTACACACGAACATAAACGACAGCTGCGGATACGAATCTTGTATATAACGAATTGTGTCACGGTCCTGCAAGAAAGAAAAAGGTTGCGATACTACTGGCTTTAATATTACTTTTTTAGGCAAAAAGGGCTTAATACGATCTTGATATCATATGATAAGCTATGGTCATCTTCTCATGTTTAACCTGGCAATACATGCCTGTGCAATATACCTCTGCAATGCACGGACTGCTGTATGCCCTAGCTGGTGCACCAGTGATATTCATTCTCGCTACAAAACTGCGAGCCATTCATTAACCCTTCATTAGCATTCCGAGTTGCGTCGAGACCGTTGTCAAGGTTCCGCGTTCCCTCACCCTACCCCTCATAAAGGGGCATAAGGTTCTAGAATTCTCGGTTTTCACATGACGTCATCAAAATTCAAACTAAGAAACTATCGATTCTTCTGAGATTCTGAGTTTCATGAGGTATTACAGCACCTAAACACCTTTATTTAAACAGAGGTTTGGTTCGAAAGGGTTCTTCGTTTTGCGATAGAGGACGTTTGAATTTCTAGGCTTTTGCGTGACGCGGCATTTAGCTGGCGGCCGGGACTGCTCTTCTGTGGGTTAAAAACATTACCAGTTTTGGGAGATTTTGCTATCTAAACATTCCTTCTGTCAGAATAAATATCACTTTAATAGTTTATGAGTTTTTTAAGCGATGAATTAACGCATTAGTAGGAAAACTCAAAAACAGATGTTTCTGTTGGTTTCCGGCGGCCATATTTGTGCCCCTCAAAGGGACACAAACATGGCGCCTCCATACAAAGCTTTATAAATTTGGGTAAAACGTTTTTCCTAATATCTCGCATATGAAATATCGCACAGACCTGATTCTTGGCAAGGTCTTTTGCTTATTTATCTTCTTTTATTTCCAAGATTCGGGACTTTCTGTATCGAATGGTTTGCAATTTTATTTTTGATTGCGTGACAGTGAAAACCGAGAATAGCTCACAATCGGCATATTAAAATTCTAACATCATTCGGAACCTTTCTCGTCAGTTTTTTTAGTTTGGCTTGTTCTCGTGCTGAAGTCTCTTCTGGGAATTGCGAGACAATGGAGTCGAGAAAAATTTGCCATTTTGACCCTAAAGCCTCGGAGTCATGTTAGAATTTTAATATATCGAACGTAGACTATTGGAGGCGATGTCTATGTATAAAGTGAGGCCGGGAGCGATCCAGCAAAAACTGCAACATGGGATCCGCAAAAGGAGTTCGAGTTGTTCAAAGTTTTAGTATCATATCACAGGCATCCCAAGCTCACGTTACAAGTGTGTTATGTTAATTAACTTTCAAGAGAGTCGGTGTCGCGTTACAAGCAACCGTTGAGAATTTGTGTATGAGAAATAAAATACTGAGGTCTGCGAACGCTAAATATCATTATTCTTACTTATTTTTCTATAAAATAAATAAAAGGAGACTTACCTTTCATTTATTGCTGTGGTTTTTGGTGTAAATTCGTCAATTGCTTGTAACGCGACACCGAATCTCATGAAAGCTAATACATAACACACTCGTAACGTGAGCTTGGGATGCCTGTGGTCATACACGGGTATGTCACGGGGACAAGTATGGTAACGCTCTGATGCGCTTTCCGTGGTATTTCCGGGTTCTCAAGGTCCTCGTTTCTGAAAATATTAGGTAATGGTCTACCCTAAGACCCATGCTTTTAGTGTGTCGCCTATATGATTACCGCGCCTTTCGACTTTAAGTAAACCCACTGACCTCTAGTAATTTCTACCTTCGTTCTTGATTGCATTCTGCTAAGAGAGAAGTTAAGAATAACCACTCTCGTAGCTGCCATTATTTTGTCTATTTGGGACGAACGGCTCCATTAAACTGAGGGTATAGATCTGGGTCGTATTACCCAGGATGTTTTATTGACTTCTCTAATATATTAATCAACCGTTTGAAAAAATGAGAGACATAACAAATCGTTGCCACACTGTAGCAAAGTCGAGCTACCCAGTATTTCCGGCTGAATGCAAACTCCCGACTTCCTCATTAATATTTTCCGAGAATGACTTTTTCATAACCAAATTTATTTTCTTACACTTACCGATGGCCTCAGTTGCTCGTTTCCATCAATGATGTATACAACAAGTGGAGTTGTCCCCTTCTCAAAGAACGTATCCACCACATCATCCAATGCATCATTTTCATTTCTTCCTGGGGAGTCGATCAACTCAATACCGCTCTTTAGAAAGGGATGATTCAAAGCAATTTCCACAGTCCACCTAAGCTGTTGAGACTGATCTCTGTCTTCATCACTGGCCACGACATAGTCTTTAGGAACCTTCTTGTTGAATACAGTCCATGGTTTGGTTTCTTGGCCCATTTTGTCAACAGCTCGGACTCTATTCTGATTCGGTGTGTAACCGATCTTGACAATGCGGGAAGTACACGGTGTTTCGTGAACAGGAAGATACGAACCACCCAAAAGTTCGTTTAGTATTGCGCTTTTGCCACAATTTCTATTACCAATGAACACCACTGCAGGCCTTTTGTTCAAGGCGCGTCGGATCTCTTCCATACTTATTGAAGAAAACATGCTTGTAATGGCGTCTTTGCTCAGCTTCGCTTGGTTCTCCATTTCTTCTAAACATTGAATTGTCTCGTTGAATAGCACCTTGGCTCGTTCAGAATATACTCTAAACTCCTCCACGGACTTTTTTAATGTGTCCTGCATTGTCTCTGGTGAATAGGAAAACAAACTTTTAACTCATTATCTGGCAACGAACTTCAAAGACATCCTGTTATGCATCCTAGATCAACTCTCACTTCATCTTAAAAGGTCATTTCATGAATATAAATTGGTCACGCGTTTCTCACAAAGAGCTACAATTTTTTTCCAGCGTCTGCCCCCCAACCCCCGTCACGGATTTTCTGTCTTATAGTGGAATTACAAGGATTCCAAGAGAATAAAAAAAAGGTATCAGTTTTGGGTAATCATCACCAACTGCAGGAAAAACAAAGCAATCCAATACAAGGCCGGGCGCGAGCTAAATTTAAATGGCTCGTTTCCAGGGTCTTTTACCAGCCATCGGTAATAATTGCAGAGGTGGGAAAGGAACGAGCGGGGATCTGCCCCGGGGGGTACTTAAGGACTTTTTAAGTGGGGATGTGCCGCTGGGAACCTGAAACCCTTAGCCTATACCGGAGTAGACTACGAGTAGTCCCCCATTTTTCCTCAACGGGTAGTAGAGCGACCGAAACGCGAGCGCGCGTGAAAATCACCCCACGCGAGAAAAGGCGTTCACGCCCGCTCGCTCTACTATCCCTGAGGAAAAATGGGGGACTACTCGTAGTCTAATACCAGAGCTGGTTCAAGTGAATTTTGCTACCCTATACTAGACTAAACTCCCCAAATCCCTCCCTATCCTAGAGTAGCTGTTTTCCAGAAACAACTGAGGTCACTAGCACAGTCCAGCCAAAACAAAACCGATTTAACTTTTTTATATTCTTGAGTGGTAATTCCCGGTTTCCCTAGTCTGGACTAAGATCTTCAGCAAATTGATCAGGAAAATGATACCCTCTTCTAGACCCAAACTCTCTGATTTATATACCCTATCCCAGAGTAAAATGCTTGAAAACCATTCCCTTTAGGGACGGACCATTAGAAAAGTTATGGGGGGGGGAGGGGAATTTTCGAGCCGCAGGAATTTTTTTTCGTCATCAAATTCCTTGTAGGAATTTTTTTTTAGGCCTTAGCATGAATATTTTTTAGGATTAATTGGCCTGCAAGAATTTTTTTTCATTTAATTTTCCCTTGCGCGAATTTTTTTTTTGTACTTCGCCCGCCCCCTCATAAGTTTTCTAATGGTCCGTCCCTTACAGCGGCAAACACCTATAATAGACCATATATGGCGGTACCCCCTCCTTGGGGATCTGCCCTATTTACGATACGAGTATATTGTCATGTGACAACATTTCGATACAAAAATGATGAGGGGCTCCTGTTTAAACTTTTAAATTAGTGCAAGACAATTTTCAAAGTATAGAGCCTCAACTAGAGGTCCAAGCCTTAATAAACACTTGAGTTGGTTTTGTCCAACGTCCATCCTAATAGTAGCCTCCCCCGCAGACATTCTTAGGGGTGCGTCACGCGTTCCTTCCCCACGAACGTCGTTCGCGGGGAAGACGCACCCTATAGTTTCTTTTTGAGACCACAGGCAGACCACCCTCTGTTAGTGCGGGCCGTTGTTGATTAATAATAATAATTTAACAATTTATATAGCGTATAGCGTATATTTACATGTGCTGATCAATAGCGCTTTACAATCATATGTTTAAGAGAAAACAAAAATACATTACCGTGAGAATAAAATAACCTAAGTTGCAAACTATGAAAATAGTTTTAAGTCGAGATTTAAAACTGTTAAGTTATGTTGCTTGACGAAGCTCCACAGGTAGGCCATTGCAGAGAGTTCGGAGCTGCTGCTGACAAGAGCCATAATTGCTGCTGAGAATGATCTTGCTCCCAATTCCCTTGGGATGGTCCAATAAGAGCTTACCAGTAGACCTAAGATTATATAATGAATTCGATTTTATACTAATAAGATCGCTAAGATAAGTTGCGCTAGGCCATAAATACATTTGAAAGTCAAAAGTAAAATCTTATAGTCAATACGCAAAGAAACCGGCAGCCAGTGCAACTCATAAAGCGCCGGTGTAATGTGAGAAAACTTTCCGATGCCAAGAATTTTGTACACGCTGTAATTTAGCGATCTGCTCCTTTGGTAAGCCAAACAATTAACCATTATAGTCAAGACGGCTGGTTATAAAAAGCGTGAACCAAAGTAATTAAAGAATCTCTCGACAGGTATTTATTGGGGCGTCGATAAAACCAGGAACATGGAACATCCCGGAACATTCCGGAACATTCCGGAACATCCCGGAACATCCCGGAACATGAAAAAATTGAAATATTTTTTTATGAAAAAATAATTGATTAATTAAATAAAAATATTAATAAAATAATAATAATAAATAATAATAATAAAAAGAACAATAGATAGAAAACAATTTTTGCAAAAATTTATAATAACAAAATAAATAACATAAAATAACATAAAAACGAAAAATAAAGAAACAAAGAAAGAAAGAAAGAAAAAGAAACTGGTATCATCTTCGAGTGTGAGAAAACAATATTTTGTCGCAATGAATTTTTTGTGCGAGTGAGGGTCCATTCAAATGACAGTAATGAGTGAAGGCTTGCTTCTAAATTCAAAATATATTAAAATGGGTCGCGCGGAGGGGGTTTTCAAGCTTTTCTCACACAGCCACCTCTTGTAAATGTTTGCCATGCGGTTTAACGGTTATCAATTTACGGCCTGATTTACGGCTTTGCGACCGTAAGACGAGCTTAGGGGCTCGTCGCTTTGGACTTGGATAATTAAATTAAACATTCACATTCGCCGCAGAATAGCTGCAGTGGCAGTGGTAGCGCAGCGGTAGTTTCTAACTGTTATCAGTTAGCCTGAATTTTAGTCGTCTCCCCGCAAACTCCTCTTGCGACTCGAGGAGACGTTTGAAATACCATGCTGACTGTAAACAGTATAGAAACTACTGCGAATGTGAGTATTGTCCACTAAAAATCCAAAGACAGGAGCCCCTATACTCTTCTTAAGTTTACAGAGCCGCCTAGTCTGTAAGTAATTCATGTCAACCTCAAGTGAAGTAAGCAAAATGTCGGTTATATATAAGGAGACTATATGTTGGCTTGACATGAGTTACTTACCGACTTGGCTTGACATGAAATACTCCACCGACATTTCAGACCATCGCAGAACCGTAAATGGATAACCGCCAAATGATTAACTCATGGCAAACAATTACAAGAGGTGGTTGTGTGAGGAAAGCTTGAAAACCCCTTCTCGAGACCCATTTTAATATATTTTGAATTTAGAAGCAAGCCTTCACTCATTACTGTCATTAGCATGAACCCTCACTCGCCCAACAAATTTTTATCTGTTGCGACAAAACATTGTTTTCTCATACTCAGAGAGGATAACAAAATGTCATAATTTGTTGAGTTCATCACAAGTTGCTCTGCCATTATTGAACGCAATTATGAAATATTTCTTCCATCTCCTTTAAAACGTCATCCGCTGTCAAAATGCAACGTTGGCGCCAACATTTCGTCATCAATTCCCAACAAGCATCAGGGGTGTCGACGGGGCGTTCTGGATAAATTTCCCTTTCAACTGCCAGCTTCATGGCCGCGATAGTTCTGTACCTCTCGTAGGCTCGGGGTCGATGCGTCCCAGATCCTTCGCAAAGTACCCAAAGCAGGACACCAAATGCATAGATGTCATAGGACGAGTCGCTTGACAAACCTTTACTATAGTTTTTATGCATCTCTAATGAGATGTGAAAAGGTGTTCCCTGCCGCGTCCGTTCAAATGGCTTTTCAGGTTTAGACATATTAATCTTCGCTGTACCGTCTCTCATCAGCTGTTGTCGAATAAACATAAAAACAAACACTAATTAGTGGTCAGATTCAAGGGTGGGATGTTAGTGGAACTATATGAAAAGGGTATACAATATTAGCCATCTCAAGCTCACAGAACAGAAACAGTTAAACCTCAGAAACATAGTTATTATGAAATAAATTCAAAGATTGACAGCAAATCGAAAATCTTCGACTCCCCTTTAAAATTTCCCTTGCGGCTAAATTTTTGTAAGTCTTATTAACGCCAATTCAATTAGCCTTTGCCAGGCTTTCAGATAGAAGCGACGTACTCGCGAACAAAAAAAACTAAACGACTGCAATATTATCATGGAGCCTGGAAGCAGCAGGCTACATGTCAATCAAAGTTGTACATTAGAATATCAGTTCTTTTGTGCAGTTCGGTTCAATTCTAGATTTTGGTATTTTGAAAGATAATTTAAGCTAATATGTTAAAATTTGAACTTCCAGCTCAATATAAACACCCGTTTTGCAAAACAACTGATAATCACTTCTCCGTTTTCCAACTAACGATTTCCTCCATGAAAAAGCAAACGTTTCCTTAACATACCAAAACTGAATCTGCCTTGATGTCCTGATGTATATAAAGTGCTTTATGAACCGCTTTTACTCCATTGATTACATCCAATGCTATCCTCATTCTGGTCTTCAGCGAAAGCTGACCCTGTTGAAGGGCGGTGGTCACATCTGCATCGGCCTTTTCCGTTAAAACATGAATAACCCCGGGCTCAGGGATTAACCAGCCATGGACATGGAGAAGGTTACGATGAGGCTCCCCAATCCTTGCCTCCTTCCAATCCTTCCCTGCCAATAAAGTACACATGCAGTACACAAACCAAGTTTTTCTTTATTAGCCTATGAATATAACGCTAGAATTATTCGCGTGGTGGATCTGATGAGGAGTGGATGGGGCTCTAGGTGGAGTTTACTGGCAACTGACAAATGGCCTAGAAATTAACTGACAGGTGACATTTGGGACCCCGCCACCCCCACTCCCCACTCCCCGCCATATCGAGACTCTCCTGGATAAGAGGAGGTTATTCAAAGAACTGTCAGGAGTGTATGCATATTTGGTGCAATTATGTTGCTGTATAGAGCAGTCCAAGGTTTAGTCTTGCCATCAGTGGGGTGTAACCTGGCCTTAGATATTCGCCGTTCACGGTCTAAACGACTGAAAAACCTGTTACAATATAGGACCAAAGAGCTTCTTGTGGTCCTTTGGTGGATTAGGGTGAAAGTCAACAAACGTCGCGCACTACATATGCTGTTTTCCAAACTGCAAGTTTTTGTTATGGTTTCACAAATCCAATTAGCTTCCATTTTTACAGAATTTCTAAAGACCCTGATGCAGGTGTGTCTTCTTCAGAATAACCTAGAGTGCGTCTTTAATGGGCGGCTTACCGTTGTCCGCCATGCTTTTGCTGTCCCGCCAAACGAGAGCCTTTTGAGTACTTCTAGTAATTTCGAATGATATAAGATTAGACACGAGAGTGTATTTTCAGATCATTTTTGGATACAAAGTCAAGATAAAACAACCTACAAACTGAACGAAAGCAATAAGGCAATCTAGAAATGCGAATGAAACAAACGAGATACTTAGAAGGCGATAGCGAGATAAGGACGAAAAAACTAGGACGAACTGACGCGAAAAATTACAATAAAGGCTAAATATACGATATGCAGAAAAATCCTAACACGAAGGACAAAGCTACGCGGACAATGAAAAACTAATGAACCTAGCAACAGCACTAAGGGCGCGAACACGAAAATAACTAAGAACGCGGCGAACATAAAAATACTATAAAGGTAACGGAAAACATTCCTGGCGCTTACAAGCACCGTTTACGCCTGTGACTTAAAACCTCTGAGTCTTAGACTAACGTAATTATGCAAGTTCTATTTCCTTCCGCTTTCATCCAACAATTATTCCATTTCCGGTGCACTAATTCTTGGCGCGCAAATCGTGCGTATTTAATGAGGATAAAGGCAAATAAGCCCTTTCTACGACCAAAAACAGTTTTTCGTTTTCCCTCCTCCTTTTTTGTTTGTCTGCATGCTGCATTTCTTTCGTTTTCCCTCCACCACCACCACACTACCACCACATCGGCGTTCATGATATTCCAGCGCCAAAAAAAAAGCTATATTACTCTGGGTAGCCTCGAATGACAAAGGTATTGGCATTATGAAGCAGCTAGTGAAAGGCAATATCGATAGTAATGTCATGATTCACTCAGTAGTGATGGAAAAATACAATAGTTATAGCAACTCCTGCAGTGTCCGTAGTAATTGCTTTAACTACGGAATTACCGTAATAAGCACGATTTTGTCAAGGATTTTTATCTATTTCAATATATTTTTAGCTCTACTTTAAAATTAATCAATGAAAGAATTGTAATCTAGTTTTAACATTTTAATTTCATCTTAATTGAATTTTGAAAATAGTTTTATTTCTTGTCTAAATTGATATCTACTATTTTGTAATTATTTGTACTTTAGTAGGTCTGCATCAGCCTATATGGCTGCCCTCCCAAACCTACTCAAAGTATGTATGTATGTATGTATGTATGTGTGTATGTATGTATGTACTTTATAACTAAAGAGCTGCTTACCTGGTGTTAAAGAGGTGTACTGACGTTTGTTCCCACACTTCTGCTTCCACTTCTTCCTCTTTGATCACCTTCACCACGCATGCACCACCGGTCGATTCCTCTGCCCAACCAGCACACTCATGAAGCTGACCATGTTTTGTGACTTTCAGAACTGGACCCAGTAGCAGCGGTCCCTTGGTTAACAGGAACTGCAGCGCGAGAGCTTTCACGACAAGGTGCCTCACTGTGGGGACATACAATGTGGCCATTTCCTCCATTTGTTTAGAGGTCTTGGTTGAGATAGGGAAACTCAGTTGACTGAGATCATCAATGACTTTAAAGAAAGCATCATGCATGTCTTCCAAACTTTTCGTACAGGCGGCACAAATTGACTCAGTGATGGCATTGCTGTTTAATTTTGAAAATAACTGTTCCATAATTCTTCTTCTGCTTTGCCGGTCCTCTAGATTAGTGACAGATCTCCACTCAGTCATCTCGTAAGATACGCCTTCCGTCAACAGCTTTTTCAGGATTTTCCTTAACGCGACGCATACTGTCATTTTTATGAGGTTTAGCCTGCCAACATTCGTTTGTGGCACGGTGGAACTCTGTGTTTTAAGCAGTCCTGATCCATAAGCTACTTCGTATGCAACTTCCACAAGTGGATTGCAAATTCGTCTTGAATGAATTTCAATGTGGTCGGTTGTTCCTTTTAAGAAAACCTCTAAAACACGTTTCAAAACATTAAAGGCCCTATCCAGGATCGCTGCTTTCATACTGGCCAAGAACTGCAAAAGTGGGGCGTCTTCTCTTTGAGGGGAAAACTCAGCCCTTTCTTCGTCCTCGCAATCCTTCATCAGCAATAGATAATATACCTTTGCTTCAAGCTCAGGCGCTGTCGAACCACTATTTATTTCGCGATATTGATATCGTTCTGCAGCTGACATTAATCTTTCTTTAAGATTTATGAGATTGCAGTTAACCAGCATTCCCAGTTTGTCTTTGTTTGCAACAGCGGACATCAATGTGTCATGCAATGATTTTCCGATACTTTTAGCGGTATCATAGTCTAAAGAACTTCCAAATAGTACTAGTGTACATTTCAATGTCTCCCTTTTCATTTCTATGGCCTGAACAAGAGCCATTTGGAAGAGAATCAGCTTGTTTACCACTTGTTTGGCTTGCAGTTTGACAGTTTCGTCTAAAATCGCCAACAATCCCTCTTCAAACCTGGCGAAAGCCTCCGTTGCTTTGCCACTTCTCTTGTGTTTTCTTTCTTCTCGGACACCTTGTGCTGATATTCCATAAAAGCAGCAGCATGTTTCATATGAATCGTCGTCATCTATGAGGCCGTGATTCTGTAACTGGGAAAAGACAGTTCTCTGCTTATCGAATTCTATTGTCGTTTCTTCGTCTTCAGAATCGCTCTCATCAGAACTTCTGTTGTCGAATTGTTTTGCTTCTGCTGACGTGTCTATCTTGTTACACACGAATATAAACGACAGCTGCGGAAATGTATCTTGTATGAAACGGATTGTGTCATGGTCCTGCAAGAAAGAAAAAGGTTGCAATTCCACTGGCTTTAATTTTGCCTTTTCAGGCAAAAAGGCTTAAAATGTGATCTTGGCATCAGATGATGAGCTATGGTCATCTCTGACTAAAAAGTTGAACAACTTCAAAACCGTTTAAGCTATATAGGACCACCAAATTAAACTTGGCGAATTTTCCTAAAACTTATCTGGCAACATTTTAAAGTCACCGTGACGTGTACGTCAACATTATTGTTACCATGGCAATCGAGTTTTGACAGCCATGTTTTTCAAAATATGCATTTTCTCAAAAAATGGGTTTTATTTCTATATTTACGGTTTGTATTATTACATTACACTTTATTTGGCATTATTTTATCAAAGGTATTGTAACTGTTAATGAAATCCACGGTTTTTAGTGACTAGTTTGAGAACAAACATGAGTTCAATATGACCAAATGGCAGATGCTGAGTTAAGCTTTTAACAGTGTTCATTTCTCTCGGAATTTCATATTTTGCTGATTTTTTGGCCTCCGAAACATCCTTTTATACTCAGATTAAGTTTTCTATTAAAATACCTCGATGTTTACTAGTTGTAAGTAAAATGGAATACATTTAAATAATTCAAAATGTCGGATCCAACATAGCAGATGATTTCAGTTCCTTTTTCAGTAATAAATGACGTCATTATGACATCACTGCTATTGTTAAAGATCATTTATGTGTCAGCCAACTTCCTTGATTTTATTAGAGACCTTACTATTCAAGTATTTTTCGCTTCATGCCTACTTTGAGGCAAATTTGGATTCTTCCAATAAATTCATTCATATGACGTCATAATGACGTCAGATAAAGTCGGTGTGTCAATCACATTCTAATGTGTAATTTTAGTGGCCGTGGGATGAGCGGTTTTGAAGTTATAGAGGCTGCCGAGAGTCCCCCGGGTCGCAGGAAACAAAAAAACCGGTCTGAAAAAAAACCTGGCCATCTGCAATACAGGGACCGACCGTATGCTTTGGTTCACCTCTCTACGAAACTGCGAGACATTCATTAACCCTTCATTAACATTCCGAGTTGTTCTGGACCGTTGTCAGGGTTCCGTCTTCCCCAACCCCACCCCCGAAAGAAAGGGCATAAGGTTCTTGGCTAGAATAGGCCATTTCCGGGTTCCCCCGGGCCTTTGTTTCAAAACGAGGGTAGGTGCTCAGCCTTTGATATCGAAATCATTTTTGACTCTCATGCAAATAAAACTCATTTTCAGAAGAAACGTTGTGCACCTAGCCTCATTTTGAAATTGAGGGCTTTTGGAACTCGGAAGTGGCCTATTGGAGGCGATGTCTATGCATAAAGTGAGGAACCATCCAGCGAAGACTGCTTCATGGGATCCGCTTAAGGTGTTCGAGTTATTCAAAGTTTTAGTGTCATATACTGTTATATGGCGGTATGGTAAAGTGGGGGTGCGCTTTTCGTATTTCCGGGTTCTCATTCTTGTTTCTGAGGGCGTTGGGTGATGGTCTACCCTAAGACCCATGCTTTAAGTGACTTGACTTGGCACGCCCAAGTCTCTCACCAAGCTGCACGAGCAAACAAGGAGGAACTCTAGGTTTATTCACGGAACTTCCGTAAGGCGCACATTATACCTCGGGCTAGTTCGTGTTCATCTTGGCTACGCAACCCAGGTCTGGGCGCCCCAAGGCATTGAACTAATTTCTAAACTCGAAAGTATCCAAAGACGTGCCACCAAATTCATTCTTTGCTTGCCTTTTTTAACAAATATATCTTACAAAGAAAGACTAATGTCTGTAAACTTACTTCCTGTGTGCTGCTGGCACGAGTTACTAGATCTAGTATATTTTTACAAGGCTACGCATAATATGATTCACTTAGATCCGTCTGTTGTGCCCTTCGTGCGCGAATGCGCACGAAGGACCCGTATATCCGTAACGAGCTCTCAATCTTTTGTGCCTAAAAAATGCAGGACTTCTACCTTTCAGAAATCGTTTTTCATAAGAACCACTAGAATCTGGAACCTGCTTATTATTAGACTTGACCTACATAATGTTACTTTTGAGAACTTTAAATCTGTTCGTTACGGTTATTACTCGCGGGCTCTGACAATAAACTATGGTCCGGACTCTCCAAGGAACTTCAAAAGTGTTTGCTTGAAATGTAACACAGCCAGGTTTTTAGACCAAGAAATTAGCTGCTGCATGTGATTTAAATTGCTACTTTTACATTTTTTTATAATTGGGTCCGCAGTAATTGGCTTTAGCTGTTGCGGTGTCTCTGCCCAAATATTTAAGTTATTATTAGTGTATTGTTACGTTCTTATTACTAGTGTTTGCATATCCTAAGTTTTGTTTTGTTTTGTTTTGTTTTGTTTTGTTTTTTTTTGTATTCTTCAGGGCAAAGCTAATAAAAGAAAAAAAATAAAATAAAAATTAAGTGTGTCGCCATTATGACTGCCGCACCTTTCGGCTTAAGAAAACCCACCGACGACTTCCAGTAATTTCTACCTTTGGTCTGGATTGAATTCAACACTATACTGGAGAGAAGTTAAAAATAACTACTCTGTGAGAGTCTCGTAGCTGCCATTAAGACCTATATTTTGTCTATTTTGGACTAACGACTCCATTGAACTGAGGGTATAGATATGGGTATGTTTTTATAGACTTTTCTTTAAAAATGAGAAGACATCGCAAATTTCGTTGCTAACAAAGTCGAGCTACCCAGTATTTCCGGCTGAATGCAAATTCCCGACTTCCTCATTAAAAGTTTCCGAGAATGACTTTTTCATAACTAAATTCATTTACTTGTACTTACCGATTGCCTCAGTTCCTGGTTTCCATCAATGATGTATACAACAAGTGGAGTTGTCCCCTTCTCAAAGAACGTATCCACCACATCATCCAATGCATCATTTTCGTTTCTCCCTGGGGAGTCGATCAACTCAATACCGCTCTTTAGAAAGGGATGATTCAAAGCAATTTCCACAGTCCACCTAAGCTGTTGGGACTGATCTCTGCCTTCATCACTGGCCACGACATAGTCTTCAGGAACCTTCTTGTTGAATACAGTCCATGGTTTGGTTTCTTGGCCCATTTTGTCAACAGCTCGGACTGTATTCTGATTTGGTGTGTAACCGACCTTGACAATACGGGAAGTACACGGTGTTTCGTGAACAGGAAGATACGAACCACCCAAAAGTTCGTTTAGTATAGCGCTTTTGCCGCAATTTCTATTACCAATGAACACTACTGCAGGCCTTTTGTTCAAGGCGCGCCGGATCTCTTCCATGCTTATTGAAGAAAACATGTTTGTAATGGCGTCTTTGCTCAGCTTCGCTTGGTTCTCCATTTCTTCTAAACATTGAATTGTCTCGCTGAATAGCACCTTGGCTCGTTCAGAATATACTCTAAACTCCTCCACGGACTTTTTTAATGTGTCCTGCATTGTCTCTGGTGAATAGGAAAACAAATTCTTCGCTCATCAGGCAACGAACTTCATAGTCATCCTATAATGCATTCTAGATCGACTTTCACCTTATCTCAATAGGTCATTTCATGAATATGAATTTGTCACGCGTTTCTCAGAAAGGGTTTGATTATTTATGAGTAGGATTTTTTTTCTAACGTCTGCCATCCATCCCTCGTCACGGATTTTTTTGTTTTAATTGTGGAATGACCAGGATTTCAAGAGAATCAAAAAAAGGTGTGAGTGTTGGGCAATCATTACCAACTGCAGGGAAAACAAAGCAATACTCCCGGGCTAAATGGCTCGTTTCCGGGGTCTTTTCATAGCCATCGGTAATACTTGCATACAGAGTTGAGGAAGGAACAGGAGGGAGTCTGGCCTGTTTGCGATACGAGTAATATTGTCATGTGTCTACATTTTTTATACAAATATCCAGCATGCATCCAGAAACTCTCAATGTTCGGGAATTTTCACAGTTAAGTGCAATGGCAACACTGTAAGTAATCTAATTTAGTCTCATACTATGAAAAGTGCACATTGAGTTGTACCAGTAGTACGAACGAGGTCCTCGTACTGACTACACAAAGAAAGCGGGCTATGGGTAGAGTCCACATGCTGCTGGTCCTACCACTTTGTCCTACTGGGGAAACTGTTTTTTTTTTCATGCTTTGTTTATTTTTTCGCCAACATGCAATACTTTAATCAACCAATAAAATGTAGTTAGTGACGTTGGACAGGACAAGCCTTGCTACGTACAGTCGTGTTATCGTCGAGGTTTGAAACGTACGCCCCCTTCTCAAGTAAATATATATAATTATAAGGCATGGGTCAAAAGTAGTCGTTTGGGTCGTTTGCCCCCTGAAGAAGAAAGGCCGTGCCTTTCGATATTCCCAACTGGAACATCAACCTTGTTTCTTTCCATGGGTCGACAAAAGCCATAACATCAACCTTGTTTCTTTCCATGGGTCGACAAAAGCCATTTTCGTTAAAAACTGAGGGGTTTTCTTCCTCGTATGTGTCACAAAAAATCAAGAAAAATAAGCAAAAAGTTTTGTACTGGAAGTTGTTTTAAACTTAATTAGTGCAAGGCAATTTTCATTATATAGAGCTTCAACTAGAGGTCCATGCCTTAAAAAAATAGAGTGAATGTTGTTCAAAGATAGCCCACTTTCTACTCTTAATTAGCGCACACTACCAAAGGGCTATGGGCTTCTGTGGCTGTATTGCAAGCTATTTGTGCTGAAGGGGACTTCCTGCAGTATGTCGTGTTCCACGGCTCGCTTTACCATGGTCGACTTTCACGTTCCGCATAATGCAGTTTGTTTTCCCCACAGAATTTTACATAAAGGTGATGTACGCAACGACGATTTTTAGTGCAACACAGCCTTGCAATGTCGGAACAACGTTGCAACCATTCGAAACAATATCGCCACAATGTTGTAACGCTGATGAAATAAAAATCGTCGTTTCGAACTGACTCGTGTAACATCACCTTAAGTTTTGTTTTCAATTTTTCTGGGGACGATTGTTAGTCCCAAGAAAACTGAAAGCAATACTTATGCAAAATTTTGAGGGGAAAACGATTTTGAGGGTCGTAGTACCCTGGGTACCGGAGATTCTTTCTCGCGTGTGACGAGGAGCTTCGTCGGCCAAAAAGTCTGTGGCACCCAGGGTATGGTCGTAAAAAGTGTCGAGGGAAAATAATTTTTAAAAAGCATCTGCCCTTGACAGGAGCCCATGACTAGCCCTGGAACATTTTTGCGCGGGCGCAGGCCCCACGAAGGGACTGGGGGAAGGAGAGAAAACCGCAAGAGGTAAAAAGGGAAAGGGAGGTCTGTTTGGCCCGGCTTACCCTCGATCCCTCTCCCTTTTCCCTACCCTCCTTCGCCCACCTGCCAGTGCATATTTCAACGCCTGCAACACCGGCTTTTTTTTATCACGCCTGCAACACCGGCTTTTTTTCATATATTAGGGATCAAATCCCCCAGGGCAACTGAAATGGACCCGGTATAAAATAGGTCCTGTTGTTAGCCAAAAATAGTTCTGCAAAGGGGTTCTCTCGGGAGGGAGGAATGGGACAGATTATACGTATCAACGCATTGCAGTTTTTTTCTATAAGGAATCAAAATTTCTCCCAGTGTAAACTCCAGGTGAAAAAAGGATAATTTCGTGTGTAAAAATAAATACAGTACAAATATACCTTTTCAATTTATTCCTTTCTTTAAACGGCAAAACTAGCTAACTATATTTAACAAACCTATAATTGATACCTTAATATATTCTAATTCGGAAATGTCATAAGCTATTATTAAGAATAATACAAGAATATTTACAGCCTAAAATCGGCGGAAAAATGAGAATATTCAGCCTGGCCCAGGAAAACAACATTCTTATAAAAAAAAAAAGAGTGTAGCTGGCTAGAATCGCATAATGACTGACACGTGGCAGTAACTTACATATATACATGGGCTTGGCGCTGAACTTCCGTCACATGTATTTAATCCTGATAAACAGGTTTATCACTCACATAAAACATCAAGCATTGTTGGCGTGACAGTCTGGCAGTTTATTTATTGACAGGTGATGATTAATTTCGAAACCCGCATGCAATCAAAAATATAATCACAAACCTCTGCCGAAGGTGACAAGCTACAATGATGCAATATAAAATTAACCAAAAACTAAGAATTGGATTGACCCGTAGCGCGGCGGGTTAGTGAATGTTACAAAATCAAACGGAAGTGCGTCGCTTAAGTGTCAATTATACCCAGATAAACCTAGTCGTTTTATCTTACACATTTTCCTATAATGGATTTTATTGATACATTAAAAATATACTCTGAAGAAATCCTTAATAACTGCATCGCGTTGTCGTCTCTAGCTGGTAGCCTGCAATGCCAGCTCTTTGAAGCTCTTTTTCCTCCCCCATCACCGCCTCTGAGAGCTTGCTCGCAAGCAAGTGGCGTGCGTGGCGTGCGGAGAGTCACGTTTTTGTGTGTGGAAAACTGACCAATCACAATTTGCGTTATTACAAGGACGTCTTGGCTGGTTTATATCGCCTACTGTGATTGGTGAAACTCATGCATCGGACGCCTTTCTGAGCAACACGAAATTTTATCCAAGGTCGCCGGTGAAGAGGTTGGCGTTTTAAGACGGGAAAATCCCAGTTGCTTTGCTAAACTTGGCAGAAATTCTGATATTTCTCTGGTTTTGCCGGTAAGTAAGCTCCCCGCGATTTGATTCATTGTGGGTTTGTTAAAATTTTTGTCAAAAGTCAAGCGGATTCATAAGCAAACTTATCCACGATCGAAAGCCATTCAATCACGGGAAGTTTTGCTCGTAGAACTATGATTCTGTCGTTATGAAAATTGGGAGAAACTAGAGGGCCTCATTTGATGTTGCAGTTGATAATACGTAGCGAAGAGTCGTAGAGACAGTTGAAGGCTATTAGATGGTTCAAGGCAACTTGCCAACATGGCGAATTTTGATATTACTAGTCATTCTTGTAATAAATTATTTCGAAATCGAGCACGAAACGGAGTAAAACAACTGTGACAACAACTGAGGGAATAAATTAAATACCTTTGCCTCTGGTAGATAGAAATAGGTATTTATTGAAAGAAATTTGACACCTAGAACTAGAAATGAGCTAAAATACTTGAGAAGTGGAAAAAGAAAACAACGGGAAGTACCGCTTAATTAAAGGTTAACCTTGCAACCGAGTTACTTCGCATATGTTTTTTAGTATAATATACAACTATCCCCCGAAAGGGAGGTTGAATAGTGGAAGATATTCCGAGACGCGAAGCCTTGAGGCATATATCTCGCGCTGTTCGACCCTGAGAGGGATAGTTGTTTTAGTATTTACCAATTCAGTGGGATAAAAATGGAAAAAGTAATTTTTTGTAAATTAAAAACGTCACTTAGTAGGAACTTTGTTTACAATTTACAAACATTTCGGGAATTTTGCTAAGTGCACTTCTTACAATTTTGTTGCAAATTCAGCGTGAAAATAATTTTCTACCTACCAGTAAACACCGACAAGCCAAAGTTCGGCGCTTTCTTGGTATTTGTTTGTACGACTGCTTCATTTATCGCTCAAATTTCATCTACCGAAAATGTCTTAAAGCGAGACGCCATATTGGCTCTGGTCGCAAAACGGTGAATAGCCGAGGATATTCCAAGTTACAGGAGCCAATCAAAACGTGCGAAAATTGCTATTCACTGATTTTGTAAATACTAAACTGAACTACCAAGGGAACACAAATTTGGCTACCCACCCAGGTTAAGTCAGGTTAGGTCTTCACGAGTTGAAAACAAACACCTAGATTTGTACTTTCTACCTGGTCAGCTGTTGTGTATTGCAAGTGGACGCATTTGAGTTTTACCAGTGCTTTTGCTGTAAAAATATGAGATTGTCTAAAAGTAAGTTCAAGACCCAAGAAAGAAAGTAACATTTGAAAGACTGTCAATTCTCAAGGTTACCCTAAATTTCCCTATTATAAGCCCTCCTTGTTATAGGCCCATCTACCTGTAAACAACAACAAAAAAATACTCTGATTATACAGCTCTCCTGGATGTAACACCCTCTACATGGTTCACACACAGCTTGAACGTCCTTGAATTGTAAAATAAAAATTCAAGGCCCTCAAAGTGCTTGAAAATTATATTAGGTGCTTGAAAGTCCTTGAATCTCAGGTGCTAACTTTTTCCAGTCCAGCAAACACAGAAAGACCTTTAGGATAAAATTGCTCATGTTGTGAAGAACTAAAAAGGACCTAGACTCAAAGGCCTATTTGTACTGAATGGAGTCCTTGAAAGTCCTTGAGTTTTTTGTTCAAAGCAGGGTATGAACCCTGCCTCTGGCTTGTATTTAAAGGAATTTGATAAATTTTGACTTTTTAAAGCTTGATTAAAACCTGTAAATGCAGAATGTTTTTTGATCAGCACTGGGCTTGGACGCCAAACCAGGTCAGACTGCCAATGTTAGTTCAACCCTTCCTTACCTGACCGCAGCTTACTGATATCTGCATGCATTCACTTCACTACTGCTTGGTTGTACCAAGGGTGTGACAAATATTCTAATACCATGAACTGCCACTTATAAGCCCTGGGCTTCTGCATCTTACTTAGAGGTCTTAGGAGGGCTTATAAAAGGAGAGGCTTATAAAAGAAAGTGCTTTGAAACAAGCCAAAGCAGGAACATACTGATTAGGGGTGTTCTTTTTGGTGTTCGTCTTATAACATTTCAGACCAAAAAACTTTGCTAACACATCTCAGATGCAAGCAAGGCTTGATAAAGATCTGGAATTCCAGCTTGTCATTAGGGCAAGCGTCTCTTACATTTTGCTTGCTTGACTCACTGAGTGAATTGCTTGCTTGTCTTAGTTAATAATTTAGTTGAAAGATGACTTGCATGGATCTTTCCCCATTGGTCAAGCGAGTTTTAATAGTCTCTTTCCCAGCCTGAAAATCCACCAGTCCTAGACTTTTTGTGAGGCCTGGTAAGAAATATATCATATTCTGTAAACACCTGTGAAATCCTAGGTAAGCTTCATGCGATTTGTTCACACATAAAAATAACATGTTATCTTTGTACAGGAAAAAAATGACCATAAAAATTTGCTATTTCTACATAATAAGTCTTGTCTCCCCGGCAAAAGTATGTTTAAGTGAAATGGTTTGGTATTTCATCAGGTGTTTATTTAATAAATCAAGCTTGGAGATACAAAATTCCTGTTTTCGTGTTGAAGATATTTCACTTACTTGCTGCTTAAACTAATTGTGAAATAACACCTCAAGAGAAAGTTCATATCTCTGTGCAGCCATGTAATATGCTCTTTTCCAGGTGGAAAGATTGATTGATTTGTGACAAAATAGTGCAAAAATTGAAATCTGCTACTTAAAGAGAATGCACAGTATTCTTTGAAACCTCATATTTCACATTGGGACATCGCTCACCAGCTTACATGAAGTCCTACTTCCCTGAAAGCTCTTTTGAGCTGCACTAAGATTCTCCAATGATTTTCCTTTGTTCTGTGTTTTGTAGACAAAGATCATGGATTGCAACAACCTTACTGACCTCTTGGAAGAAGTACATTCTCAAGTAGACATGCTGCAAAAGGCAGTTGCCCAAGTTAGTCAAGTTAAGGCAAGTTTAAAAACAACAGCCTCTGAAGTGAAGTCTCAGATTCGCGACAGTGTCAGCCGTCATCTAGAAGCCTTACGGAACAGAGAAACCTGGTTGTTGGGGCAAGTGGAAGTGGTACAGCATATCAAAGAGGATATGTTGCGACAACAGCAAGCTGAACTCAACAAGGCTCTTGGCAGACTGCAGTCCACTTGTTCCTTGCTTGAGCAAAGCAGTAAAGCTCTTGACACAGACAGCTTGGAGTGTCGGGTCAGCGAAAGCTTAGAATCTGTTGGCCAGCTGAGCCTGATACCTGAGGAAACCAGTGCCATCAACTTTGTGGCTCGGAATTTTGAGCTCCAAGACTCCATTCACAAATATGGTGTGGTCATCTCTGATCATCCTTTTGCTGATAAGCAGATGGTGTCTTCTTGTGAAAGGCTTCAGTTGAGTTCTGGTAAGAAACTAGCATTCTTCACCCCATCTGGTTCTTGTGAGGACTGGCTTATGAAGACAAATGCTGGTAGTGCTTGTCAGGACACCCCAAAGTCCCATGCTGTGATGTCCAACATCCAGGACTGGCTGCAGCCTAAAGAAGCTTCAGTTGTCTCTGCCACAGAGAGCTCAGTCACTTCTATGCCTCAGCAGAATGTAGAGAACTGGCTAGCCAAATGTCAGTCCCAGGATGCTGTAAAAGATATAGAGGACATTGCAGAAAATCCAGGAAAAGCTGTTGCTGTTACAGAGAACAACGCCACTGAAATCCAAAACTGGCTTCTGAAGACTCAAGGGACCAACTCAGCTGCTTCCCTGCCCCCTGCTAACTTGTTTGACTACTACAGAGTTGTTAGATTGTCAGAGTCAAGCAAGTGGTTAAAGAGCAATGCTGGAAGTGCTAAAGACAAACTTTCCACCAGTGTCATTGGTGACACCTACAGCAAGATTGCTGCTTCAAGTCCTGATAAGTGGCTCATGCAGAGGAAATTACCAGTTGCTTCCAGCTCCGCACTGGTCAGAAGCATCAGCTCTCAGTCATGTTCAGAGTGTTCCTGTGGTTTGTCTTCAGGGTGTTGTGATGCTGATGCTCAAGAAAAATCTGGCAATTTTGATGATACCTCAAGTGAGTTTTCTGATTGGTTGGCAGTGAAGAGAGTTGACACCAACAGAAGTTCATCCCCTGAGAGAGTATCAACTGAAGTTGCTGGCAACAATACATGGCTCATCAAACAACATGGTGAGATCAGCCAACATGAAACCATGGATGTTACTGGCATTAAGAATTACAGAGAGAATCTAGCCTCACAATCCAACGAGCACTGGTTGAAACATGAAGGCAGTTCCTTGCTTCCTGACAACAATAAAGATAGCGAGGGAATAACAAGTGGCATGAAGGCTTACATTGACTCTCTTCCTGTTGATAACAACCAGTGGTTGTTAAATCCACCCGAGGATGATGGCCTTTGTAAGTGGCTTGCCCGCAGATCATCTGAGAAGTGTAAAGAGTGCCCAAGAATGTGTTCCAATGGCCTCTTCAAGATCTTTGGAGAAGTATCCAGTTCTAAAGGTGGCTGGCTTATGTCTCAAGAACTTTACTAAAATCTGTCAATAGAACACTGGTAAAGTAACTGGCAAAACAATATTTTTTATAAAAATTTTCAAGATTTCAATGTGGGCAGTTGTCCTTTTTTCTTGTTTATAAGTTAGTGAAATTAATCTACAATGTAGGTTTAGTTTGAAAAATTACAGTTGATAAGAAGCAGGGACTTCTATCAATTGTTTTTGTAAAAAAGATAATTATGCAGTAGTAGAATTTTATTGACAATAATTTGTTATTATTGTTGATTTCATCTGTAAGAAATTTTCCTTTATTTTTGATTAATATAAGATGCTATCTTAGTGTAAAACACATTTAGATAGGTATTGGCCGGGGTTGATGGTGATTTTCAGTGGGGCTGCAATAATACCTTTTGCTATCATAATGATGCAATTCATACCTCAGCACTCTAGCTATGTTGGATAACACTCCCTAAGATATACTGCTATTGCCTATGTATTCTTAGATTTGTATTACAGCTTCATTAAGCTTATAGGAGCCATCGTATGGTTGCAATCTTGATTGTATCTCAGGGCTCGAAATTAACTTTTTTGTTCGGGAGCCAGCTGGCGACTAACGGAAAAATTTTGGTCGCCAGATCGTAAATTTTGGTCGCCAACTTATTTTATATATAACTTACACAAGAACACGATTTTATACGTTACTTTGCATGCAAGAAAAGTCACAACTGAAGAGCGAAAACAATTAGAAACAACACGAGTAACACTTAGTTATAAAGCTACCGTTGTTCTCAGGTGATATGTCTCTGGTCCGAAGGTGATGGTTGTCTCCATAGTCATTTTAAATGAAGCGAAGCATAAAACGTTTTAAGTCCGTGGTTTTCATTCTGAGACAAACACGGGTCCTTGTGTATTTGCCCTTTGCTACTTCTACGAAATGCCGTTCTTTATTTTCGACTTGCTTTCCTCAACGCCTTTCGCTGCCGACAAACAACGCCATGCTTGGCCCAGGCCTCTACGCAACCACATTGCTCGTACCAGTCTCCGACCGGGAGGAAACAAAAATGGGCTTAGTGCAGTTTTTGGGTCTTCGTTTCCTTTTAGACAGAACGTTTTAGGAAAATAAAACCTAAAATGTTGCGGGAGTTACGGAGACACCGTATCTGCCACCATTTTTGTTGTTGAAGTGCGCCTGCGATCCCAGTTTCGGAAGAAGCCGCTGAAACAATATGGCGCGCCCTGAACGCAGTATCGACGTGTCGATTATCTTGTAATATTCAGACATTATTTTACTGGGGACGGAAAGGTGAGTTGTATACTAGCTACCATATCCGATTGATTTCCAAATATAAAGATTTAAAAACAAAAGTTGTGTCGTGGTTTTCTTTAGTCATCGGACAAAACGCGAGTCGCCAGCTGGCGACCAGTTCTGAAAATTTAGTCGCCAGTGCTCAATTTTTGGTCGCATTGGCGACCAGTGAGTCGCAATTTCGAGCCCTGTATCTTCGACCTTAAAAACAAGTAAGTAATGTAAGGCCCAACAGTATTTCGTAAGCTCGAGTTGCATGTCCTTAGACAAAGAAACCTTGCATAAAATTTGGCTTAATCGTGGGTTAAACTTAACCGTCTTTTCAGGAACCGGGCCCAGGGAATGAAAATCAAGACTACTCTTGTTGAATTATCATCACTTTTGTTGTTTTGTAGTACTTACTGACATATCTATTTCGGTTTGTAATGATGAAAACTATAGTAGTGCATCGGAATATCGTTGCAACCCTATTCTTCATGTTCATAACTATTTTGTGATCTTAACTTTGTGAAATTTGGACAGTAAAGAGAGTAAAGCTTGCAGTTTTTACCAGAATATCAAAAATATATTATTGCTATATGGAAACAAATATATAATTATTGTGTGTATAAAATAAGACAAAGTGATTAGGGGCAGGGCCTCCTATCAGTAGACTTAACTTGTAAATAATTATCATGTTTCAGATATAGCTATAAATATTTTAGTTTTATTGTATTTTCATACATGTAGGCATCATTGATTCTACAAAAGTAGCTACCATATAATTTTGCTTGGACAATACCGCAAAATAATAACTGTGTATTCGCTTATTACCTTTTGCGATCTATTTAACAATGGGTAGATACTTCGAGCAGGTAACTACTTCCGGGAGGGGATAGTGTGGGATGTTTTTGGAGGGTTTGGGGTGGTGCAATTATTTGTTTTAAGACTAGTAGTCCATTTGTTCTAAAATTTACAAACTTCGTCAGTCATGTTTCTTTTTTGGCTAAGCAATAAACTTGTGTGTAAAGTGTTCTCATTGCCTTTGTTTGTTTCTCGGATACCAGCCTGAGAATTATTTTGGTTTCCCCATTTTTAAACAAATAGAACCCACGAGTCCCTCTTGTTATTCCCGGCATAGAGCCTGAGTGATTGTCCTTACTTCTCCTCATTGCCAGGGTAAGGAAGAACACTGACCCCTTCCAAAATTCACTGAATATCATATAATAAAAAATATATCGAGGTCAACAAGAGTTGACTAATCGAGGGGAAATTTCTGATAGCGGGGTAGGGCGTGAGGAACAGACAGCACAAATTACGCAGTGTCGGAATCTTGTATTCGGGATCCTTTATTGTTGATTTGTATACATAATGGTGACATCAAGGAAGTAATCTTGGAAAACAGCATTTCTCCAATGTAGCTTTAATCATGTAACATGAGAATTTACCTTAAATGGTGCATAGAAATTGCATTCTTTAGACGTGGAAGGTACAGGTACATGGTACGACATCGAAATCGACGGCAGCTTAAGTCAGCAAAATAATAAAACACCATTTTCCCGCGCTTGGCACCGGGTGTATTTTGAGTTTGAATCTGATTGGTTCATTGCAGAATTTAGCAGAAATGATTGGCTAGATGAGATTGACACCTGAGAAAAATTTTTACCAGACAATGTCAAAGGCCTGTGTTATTTTTACTACAAGATTTTAATATATTTAAGGGATCTCTAACTCATGAATCGACCCACCAGAAATAATATTTCATATAACTAATTAAAAGGTACTCAATATTTTGAGCGGAAAATGTTTTAAGAGAAAAACTTTCCCGTGAATTAAATTTACAGTGAAACCTGTATTAAGTGGACACCCTCTATTAAGCGGATAGTAGCCAAAGTCCCCAAATTTATTTCCCTTATTTACTTTAAATGAAACCTTTATTAACCGGACACGGACACCTAAAAAGTACCTGAAATGGTCATTTCTATTGTTGCCAGCCTGTATTAAACGGACACTTGTGATTAAATTCCACCACCCAACATGCCAGACACCGGAAATGCGAAAGATTGCCTCGAATTGCCACCCACAAATTTTTCGATTTTTACATTAAAAAACGTGACTTGACGAACTTATTTGATTAGTTTCCCAGTACAGTATTGTTTTCTATTTCGTTTTGTTTGTATAGAGCTTTTTTCACTCATCTGATTTCTTCAAATTTGAGTTGCAATCTATGTTTAAGGTACTATGATCAATTGGTCCACTTTGATAAAGAAATTCATGCAAACGTATATCGTCATAGTCTCTGGGAGTATTCTAAACGTTTCCACTGTTCATTTGAATAGCATTTGACACCTCATATGACGTTATCTATTGAAACCTGTATTAGGCGGACACCCTGTATTAAGCGGACACTACAGTATTCCCCGAGGGTGTCCGCTTAATACAGGTTTCACTGTATTTCAAAAAGACAATTTCAAACTAAGAACACTCAAATTGTGAGAATTACTAGTATTCATTACCTTCTCAGTACCTTTTTTTCAATGGCCTCCATTGAAGGTTTTAATTATAATCAGTTTTGGTATTCAAGGAAAGAAACAGTTAAAATATGCAGACTTTGAAGCTTGTTCCGTTAAGAAAAAAAAAGCCTATTTTGTCTTTAGTTATTATATTGTAATAAATAAATTACAATTACGCAATTACATGCGCGAATTCTTTGTTAAATGTCGTGAATCGAAGCCTTGGGTATGGGCTTTGGTGACGACACAGGACTGACCGATTGCCCAGGTTTTGTTGGCGCGCCATCAGATTTGTTCTCCCCACGGCATTCCTCAGTCATTTCCAACTGTTTGGGACCTGGGTCGGTTGGTGTCGAGGAACGTGATCCCTGCGGTGAAGCAAGTGGAAGAGATGAAAGAGCAGGACTGGGCGCTAGGATAATTGGCACTGAGCTGGGGCGTACATTGTCAGCTAAGGATCCAAGTTGTGTCGGTGAACTACTTTTGTTGGAGAGTGATGGTAATGGCGGCTGTAACACAACACAGACTTGCTGTCCCCCGGCTGGTGGCGATGACAGACTGCTTCCTTGTTTTAAAGCTGAGCTTCGCTCTGGTTCTGGAGTGCTCGGTTTTTCCAGTTTTTCACCTACAGATTAAAAACCTTTATTGAACAATTTGAACAGAATCTGGCACCAGTTACATAAAAATTGCAACTGGCCCCTGTTTGACCGAAGTTAGTGGTCTCAGCCAGATCACTGACTTGGATCTCTAGATAACTAGTTCCGATAGTCATGTTGGCGGTGTTTCGTGACACCCTAACCCAAATATGGAAATCAGGGATCATAGAACCGTCGATCCTGATTATAGGAAATGGTGAGTGATAGAGAAGGGAGGGCGGGTGATAACTAATACGCAAGAAGGGTGATAAATCAAGCAACAGACCCAGAGTGTTACTGTGTTTTATTGTGGTGCCAACAGCATATTGACCAGAGATGATCTCTTACGAGAAGTGTAATGTCGTAATTATGGGTTTGCTAGCCTAAAAGGGATCCCTAATTTCAGAGTTACGTTCACTCTCAACAGGTAAAATCTAACTGTCTTAATAGTGAGAGTTCGCGATTTCTGAATTTACATTGAATCAAAGTCACACCACAAAACTTACCTTCCACAGGACGCTGGGGCAAATCTGGCTGCACAGGCTTGGTTTCCTCAACCGCCGCTTTCTCTGGCTCTGTATTCGCTTGAACATTGGCTGCAGGAGTCTGACTGCGAGGCGTGAAAAGCTCTTGACGTAGATTCGGTAAAAAACAGTCGATTCTCTCCCACGTTACTTGCCACAGGGCGGAGTATTTGTGGATCTCGGAGTCCGTCCTCTTGTGTGTTTTCCGTTCTTCAGAAGACTGGGAATTGGCAGTGATGTTGCATTCTTCTTCATCAAATATCCCGGCTGTAGACATCACAAGCAGCATGTTCTTGAGGGATTCTGGGATGGCTTCGAACTAAAAACAAAACAAAACAAAACAAATTAACTAGACTGTCCCTTTCAAGCCCAAATATGGAGAAACAAAACGCACATCCAACTTGCAAGTACGTGGATGGAGTATCAAAGTGTTGCCATTCAAGTGAAGGCTACTGGGCAGTAATTTCCTGTGGCACCGTTTATTATGCTGTGCAGGGTGATTCTACCCTATGCGTCTTTAAACCAAATGCTAAGGTGTGACTATTCAACTGAAACCTCGGCTTTTCTTTCACATGCCAGTTTTTGTTGTCTAGTGCTTTACAAAATGAAACTTGGGGATTTTTCGTGAATTTTGTGTTCCGGAAACTCTGTAAGTGAAAAGGGAATTCTAAAAGAGTCCGCGAGCAAAATGTCAGGTGGTGGAGATGGGAGACGAATTGTTTTCTCCGCCCCCGCGAGAACCTCCGAGCCCCGCCGAGGCAGATGTAGCAAAGACAACGCGGCGTCAACAGCGCACGGAAAGGACTGAAATCAAATCGGTTTTTTGATCTGTGCGCGCCACTGTCACTGCCCTCACGTCTTCTTTGCTAAAACTGGTTATCGTAGAAGCCGAGACCGCCTTGCGCGCGTTTCTCACCGCAGGATTGTTTTTCGCTCCACGAAATTGTTGGTTTTGACTAAAACAGACGCAAATGTCTTGAAAAACCTAATGTAATTATTTCACCAAACTTTCATGAAGCTGTACAATGTGCGAACAATTATAACCAAACTTTTCTCCGCATTAAAAGCAACAAAAATATGTGGTTGATGGTTATTAAGAAGCACTCACAAGAAGGTCGCTTTTATCGGCATGCATGTATTTATCCATGAAATCCAGAATAGTGAGCCACAGAGCGGTAAAAGTGGAAAGTGATAACAGGGGAGTCAAATGCTGCAGAAACACCTGCAAAATAATCCAACAAATTAGCACTAAGCAGGGTGTGAAATTGTTCGGTACTTGTTACTGTTGTGGAAACCACTATGTTTATGTATTATTAATGGTAAAACCTACAGTGCTGCGCCACAGACGAAATAAACTTCTGGTTAAGTCTGTCTGAGAAACAGCGCCAAAATCCTGTCATAGGACTCCACCTGTGTTTGACCTGTTAAAAAGCCATTGTCGATTTGCCAATCAGGTTGAGGAAAAATTCGAAACGCATTTTCGGTAGTTTGTTGAGTCCGATGGGAGAAGGGGGACAGCAGAACATGGATACTCAAAGACAGCGTCCAAAACTTTGTCTGCGATACGCGAGTGCGCAAAATATGAATACGAGGCTACGTTAGAGTCTGCACGTATCACTGACGAGTCTCTTTAGTATATTGTATGAACAAGTGTATTGCCTCCTTATTGTTACTGATTTATTCTGTCTGTTTAACACGAGAAGGAGTGTTTCTTCAAGAATCCCTAAAACCAAGAAGTTAGTGGGTTGAATAAACCGACACTCCGTCAAGTTTTGCGACAAACCTTGAGAGACAGACGTTAGCAGGTTGTCCGCCTGAAAGATGCTGGGAACTTAATACATACTACTGCTACTATACGTATCAGACAATACTTCAAGCGCACGTTACTACATCATTCATTACTTGGAAACTGCGCCATAAGCAGTCGGGAAAAAGTCCCCAACCAGTGTCGTAAATTATTCCTGAAAAAAAGCCCTGGGGGAGTAAGTAATAAGATATTTACAACTCAATTATTATTTTTTTAATTAGTAAAATTTTAGTGACGTGTACCTTGCAAAGAAGTGTCGCGGCTCTCATTCGTGTTTCCTCCACACCCATTGGGTCTCCTGTGTTATTTACTTCCAATAGACGAGATAGCATTGGAAACAAAACCTGTAACAGACAAAGCTCTCCCCTCAAGTACCTACACTAACAAACAATCAACAAAAAACTAATGCTAAACAAAGATTTATAAAGCAGATTCAAGTCCAGTGATACTTGAAAGATAAACCTACCTTATTAAAACAGGCCTCCCATTCCACTGCCGTCAGAGCTTGTAGATCGTGAACCAGCAAAGCACGCTGAAGGTAAGTCAGCGCTGACATCCTCACATCACGGCGCATGTCACAACACAACCGCGCAATTCCCTGCAGTAGCGGGCACCAACACTTGCTCCAGAGAAATTCCATTTCATGATCACACACTGTGCTTGCGACACCACTGCTCGTCTGCGATTGGCTGCTTTCATCCGGGGCTTGATCAAAGAGCACACGTCCGTATGTGTGCAGCGTGTACATAAGCTCGGTGAGTTGTAACGACATGGCATCGTAAGTGTTGTTAATGGTTTCCACGATCTCAGCCTCGTCTTCACTACTTGCAGGACTGCTGGTGGCAGACCTTGTGGATTTACGCGTTTTTAAACTCGTGGGACTGACCTTCTTTGACCGCGAAGACGCTGCCTTTTTGCTGTTACGTCCCCAGCTCCCCTTGTAGTCAGCCGCGTGTTCTTTAAACTGCCACCCATCCTGTCTGTATCCTTCACCTCCGTTAATACTCGCTTCTGAAAACACGCGGATGGCGTGTACACACTGCAAAAAGTTCTCTTTCGTAACGTGTGTATTATCACGGATCAAAAACGCCAACGTCTGGCACGATTTAACAAAGGATTTACTATCATGTCTGTTCAGTTTAACCCCAACTGTTAGTTCATACTGATTTGCGGGCGAACTTTCCGAGTCCTGTTTAGTTATCACCAGCCACGTATCGCCTAATATACTTCCACCTAACCCAGAATCCGCCTCTACGCTGGTAAACGAGCTAACATCGCTCTCCGAGTTTGAAAGTCCCTCGGCAAACTCGTAATCTCCCGAGATCGAATCACTATCCGTATCCTTGGAAACCGCTGTCATGGCAACAGGACCGGGAGTCACGGTTGGGAGAGAAGCAGCGGCACCGACGCACTCTAAAAGCGTAAACACTGTGACCCAGTCTCTCGCGGCAGTTATGCTCGAGGCATTTGTCCGTATGAGTTCGTGAAGTCCGAATGAAACTTGCCTCCCACAGGCTTGGAGGACATTATGTTTCATCAACAGAAGAATACGAAGAGTTAAAAGAACTTGACTAGAGACTTCTTCTTTGTGTAAAAGGCGGATCGCCAACCGCAGTAGCCCCACAACTGATCTTTCCACGATTGAACTACAAAGAAAATGAGAAATAGTTGTTGCCTAAATTAGATCGAATTGTACACTTTGTAATCTCTACCTTTTGAGGTCATTCTTGCCGGGTAAGGGAGGGGAATCCAGGATTTGAATTTTCTACTTTTGCAATTATGCTCTGTCAAGGTAAGCTACGTGACCTGCATACCTGTCTACAATGTATGTAAAGATTGGGGGAACCTGGAACTTTGTATATGTCGTGGTAAAATCTTTGTTTTTTTTAATTCTGGTTATGGTAAAATATGCTAATGACTATAAAAAAGACAATAAATTTGAACATATGATATAATTACTTCCAATTGCCTCCACTTCTGGACCAAACTGCTCCATTTTATATTGTTGCACATGATGTAATTTTTCCTTACCTGTGCTGAGTTGCATTCACAAGAATATTGGACAAATGGTCTCTCACTGTTCCCCACAATGCTGAAACACGATCCCTGAAAAAAAAAAAACAGAAACATACCAACAATATAGTCACACAAATCGGGTTTCTATCGTCACGAGACCAGCAAGACCAAAGTATTTGTAAAACACTTGAAACCACTAGTCATCTAGAGGAAATAGGACGTTTGTTGTTCTTTGCTCATTGGTAAGAACATATCTCATTGAAAATTCAAGCTCAAGATTGCTGAACAGCTTCGTGGATCCACGGCAGCACGTCGGAAAGCTTTATCGAGCTTCGCTTATCTTGCTGCAAGATGCGAACTAGCTTTCTTGACTTGGGGCTCCCCGCTGCGTATATCGCGGCCACGAGCTGTTGTAAAGAATAATGGGTCACCGCGAAATCTGAGGATAGTTTAGTGAGTGAGCTACCTGTTCTGCAAAACAACTCTGATTAACAGTTCCAAAAAGAAAACCGCAGCCTCTTCTTCATAAGATTCTTGGTTATCAACGCTTGAATTATAAATTAACACCTACAAAAAAACAAACAAACAAACAAATTAATACGCATAAGAGAGTGAACTCTGTGGCCAATGAACTATGGACAACAAAAAAATGAAATGTAAAACACGTAACATGAGTGCTTGTGTAAATAGAAGTCGGACCCTAAAAGTCCAAGAGAGGAAACAGGAAAGCAACGAATGAAAATGAACAAACACGTGCTTAGTTACGTGATTTTGTTTACACACAAAGCAATTAATACTGAACCCCCAATATCGACATACAAATTCTACACATTTCCTTACAGAATTAGTTGAGAGAATTTGATAAAGGATCAAAGAATTTCCCCGCTTGGTGATCATAATTAAAGTAAAATCTCGTGACCTTTTCTTTTGGATAGATATTGACACTGTTGGGAGAAAATAGATCTTCATTGTTTGGGATCTTTATGGGTTAAGAACTTGTTTGAAAGAGTTCGCACGTTTAAGATCGAATTGGACAAACAAAACAAGCGAACCGAACAAAGTAATTGTAGCCTGATTCTGATTGGCTCTAAAGATGCTTGCTTCTGGTTGAAGGGTGTAGAAGCGAGCGACCGTCGGCGGCGAATCAGGGTAACTTGATCTTCGCGACAAGCAGGTTTATTCTTTTCACACTGCCAAATGTTGAAACATCTAAATAAAAGGGCTGTTTATAACGCCCTAGATCTGATAAGCAAATAGTACAACCTTCATTAGTTCATTCAGCGACTCGGGTCTTAGGAATTTGCTCTCTGTGATAAGAAGTTCTGGGTGGCATTCCTGTGGGAAAGAAATATAAGTTAAAAAACGATTTGCAACTCACTGGAAAAAAATCTGTTTTTATTTTACCACTAATAACCTAAAGCGACCAAACGACACCACCTTCTTCGTGGACTATCGAAAAGCCAGTCTAACTTTCACAAGAAGAACAGTTTGTTCGGAACAGATTCAAATCACAAAATCAAGTTTCAAGAGTTTTATATTATTTGCTGCTTTGTACATCGCTACGCTGTATGATTGGCTAAAAGTTTCGCGCCAACCTCTCACCGATCAGAAGTCAAACCAAACCAACTCGTGCCTTGTTTGCGCACGTTCCCGCGCTAGTCACGGCTAGACGTATTTGCTTCTCGTTCTGATTGGTTCACTAGATTGCCCCAACTGTTGTGATTGGCCAGTTGTTGTACTCACTCTAATGCAGTTATGCGCTTGTTTCTGAGCTTCCTTATCTTCCGTTGTTTGTCCTCTGTTGCTCGCCGGCTCCGGGTTTACCAAGTACCACCATGAAAATATCGAAGTTTCCTGCCTGTGATCAAGTACAATTTATAAAGTCAGCTACGTTTTCTTAAGTAAACGGTGAAATCGGCTGCTCTACCATTTTCTGCGTTAGATTATGCTTCATTTTGAAGTTTTACCTTGTAGACGGTAGCTCCTCCGGGAGAAGACTTATTCTTCCGCTAGCTTCAACAAAATCTTCAGCCTAAAAACGAAACCATGGCAACAACTCAGTCTATGAAATTGAAAACAAATGTGTTGGTTAATCTCCTAAGCAGCTGTTATGTCGTCACACAACGATCCTCTACTCCTCTAATCTCTTACCCAGATCGCTTGTTGACGAAGTCGGCTTCGTCAACAAGAGATCTCGGGACGAGATTACTCCTCTTCCTCTCCTGTGGGGAGGAGCGTTGATTGAGGTCACGAAAACGGCTGCGTACGAGCCTACGTATTGGCAACATAGACTAAGATTTCAAATCCAAGGCGCAAGGGCAGTGTAATGCTCTGGTGAGCTCAAACAAGCCATGCTGTACAGTGTGTGGACCGAAGAAAAGAGGAGGTGCACCATAATCCTTCAATTTGGGGGATAAACGATGGAGACGTACAATACGCCATGTAATCGGCTACAAAATCTCCGCCTGTTATTATCAGAAATTTCGCAAGCCCCAAACAATCATGACTTGCGCGCAAACTTCTTCCCGCGCTTTATGCTTGCTGCACGTATTCGTGACCAATTCTGATTGGCTCATTGAACTGACAGCCTCTGTTGAGATTGCACAGAGAAAAACCGCTCAACTAAGGAAGTTTTTCCTCACCTCGACCAAAGACTTTGGCAGCATTTTGGCCTTAAACAGCTGAAGCATACAATCCATGATGTTTTTCCAGCCTTCCCGGAGAATATCTCCATGGCGATGAGCCAGTGCAAACAGAGTTCTTGCAGACTGCTGTGCCTTCAAATTTTTACCAAATGCAACTGGAAGACTTTCACCAGTCTAAAATATGACGAAAATTTTAACAAACATGCAGAGAAAAATACATTTAATTGTGTTAAACAGGTGGATCACTTACAAAATGTAAGAACGTTTATTTTTTTTTCACAATCGTAAGCTTAAAAGAGGAGAAAAAGTACTAACCTCTGGCGGTATCAGGAACGTGGTGAATTTACACAGTGAGATTACGAGGTTATCAAACACATCCGACAGACTGTAATGCGCTGAAATTAGGGCACATTTTCTGAAACCAAAAATACTTACATCAGTTTGGTTAAATTTACCCCTCGTTCCTCTTAAGAAAATATGAACTCGGAATAGACTGTTTTTCAGTAGTTCGCTTAATAGCCTACGGTAGCCTTTGAGTGAATGCGAGCTAAATTTGAGTTTGTTTGTTACAAACCACCCTGCATGCTTGTATGCAAACTATGGTCTTCCCCAGCCTCACTTGCAGCAACTGTCTATTAGCCTGATAAATGACTTGTAACTATTAATTCTTGAGCGACAGAACTAAACTAATACTCCCGTGGCCTTTCCAATATTAGGTTGCGGAACTTCCAGTTCCGTCTATGACTTTCAATTCAGAATTGTGACAGTTAATGACCGCACCCACCTGAATCCTACAATAGCTTTCTGTACCACGCTCTTTTCCAGGCCATTATCATACACGTATGACAAAGCAGCCACAGTTGGTCCCCAGATGATAAGAAACAAATCCTGATCAAAGCTGCTGCCGATTCCATGAATGTACTTTCCTTCAGGTGTACCAGCACGCCGCAACAAAACCTAGAAAATTTAATGCATGTATTGCTTAGTAAGATCTGGAATTTTACAGCTTTTGCGCCGGCACGAAAGTCATACCGGAGAGAGCTTATGTTTACACATAAGAACAGTGATTACAATTCGGCGTGATTTTTGCAACGGAGCGAAGCTGTGCCGCACCGATCTCGAAAGTGGAGCGTCACATATCGGATAGATTCTGCGCCACACTTTGGTGCAGTATAAACAGGTATTTAGACCTTCTAAAAGTCCTTTTTTGTCCTGTTTGGTTATACCATTTTAAAGGACTTTTCATACCTGTTTGACGCGAAATTCACCGGTCGAAAATTCTACTGGTGACGTCATGACAATTGCCCAACAGAACAGTGAGTGATATTTTACCCTGCTCCCAACACAGCATCTGTGAATTATTTTTTCCCGCGTGAAATCAAAATATAATTCAGATCCATTCACGCGAAACAAGTCGACCTCGAGATTTCGTCGCTTGCTCGGTCGCTGTGCGACCTCATGCATTGAAGCTCGCTTCGCTCACTTGTAAGAACTTCTAACAGGTATTTGGACCGTAACGGAATTGAATAAGAAGGAAAGAGGACTGGGACCCACTAAGAAGGAAACAAATATTCAGGAGAGAGGACTGGTATTTAGTTTACCAAATCCTCTTGGCCAACTACTCCGGTAGCACGATGTGCGATATGAGTGAACGACTTGTTCCATTTCTTTGCCGTTGCTTTTCAGAGTGACCATAACCAAAAGCCATGTCGCGATTGATTGTCTCACCTTCCATTCATAATTTTCTTTGATTTTTCCACTTCTTTCAGCAGGCATCACAATTTCTTCAGTTCTGTTAAAAGTACAGAGCGAATTGTAAAACGCATGCTCAGAGCTGCAAATAACACCCGGTCATCGTGCAACTAAAATTGGCCCATGTAGGACGAAATCTTAACTGTGGTCGGACACGATGACCGTACAAAGTTAATACCAAACGCTATATATTTTCAGATAAATAAAATCTTACCGGAGCGCATGGGAATTGTTGTACTAATAGTCTGCAGAACAGGCGCTATTTTTGTTCGCGTTTTTCAAGCAAACGAAGCAACAAGCGGGCGTTGAGCGCGAGACACACGGGGGAAGGCGGCTTTGTAGCTCATAACATAGAGGGTCAGTCGGGATACTGACACGATGTGCTTTCCAAAAAACACTACTCAGTTGTAGTATTGCTTCTTTACCTGATTGCATGGTAAATTTCTTCCAGCATGCTCGCTTTAAAGTCACTTGAGCCGTTTGTTTTCCTTAGATTTCTTTTGAAGTCCTACAGTAACAAAATACATACGTTAAACGGCTAACATTGGTACCAATGGTGGTTAACAAATGCTAAAGCTTGCTTCACTTGGATAGTAACAGCTATTAAGAGAATATCAATGACGACGTAGAACTAGTACCACTACGGGTAGCCTCTCACTTTTTTGTCGAGCAAAACGCAAGAGAAGAAATAAGGCCACGTCCTGCAAGGAGAGCGCCTACGTTTCTCGCGGTTTCAACGCGCCACTTGGTTATCAGTTTGGGGTGTGCATTCACTCCACTATCTTTGAAGAAAAACTAGAGACTGCTAAACGTCTAAGGACTGGTTGGATATATGTAACCCTAGCCAGAAAAGACGAACGACGATTGGCGGGAGAATGGTTTTACCAGTTGGTCTGAGATCATGATTTCAAATTGAGACAAGAGAGAATATTGACTACAGACAAAGAAAGCCAAGGAAACTCTAGAAGTACACTTTACCTCACACGTCATGGGCTTCTGTTGTTTAATGTTCGAATTGTGTTGATCAACATTCAACATAATCACAGCGTAAGATAACGTGAAAACAGCGTCTTTGTTTGCATACGGCTCGGGGTTACCCTCCTGCAAAAAAAGAACGACGAAATTTAGCTTCAAACTGGTCAAGGAATTTCAAACAAATAGATCGTTAACTGTTAAGTAACTTTTAGTAAACTATGGGAACTGTTTAAGACAACATTTATTACAATCTTCGTGCTCAAAATTGCTCTCCCCGGTCTTGACAAAGGATGCACGTACGTGTACTAATCCCAAGTGGGTCTTGCAAGCACGCACGTACGCACGCACTGTGCTATACGCGTTACGCGTTTGCGCATCAAACCAACTGTGTGTCTGTAAAAAGTCGGGGAGTCAGGGTCGGTGTCGGGGTCAGGAACTATTGTTCTCTTTTTTCGTTTTCTGTATTATGCTTTGGTTTTGGGGAATAGACGATGAATTGACTGACACCCTGAATAAATTAACCCGCCATTGACGCAAGAAACAACGGAGAAAAACGCCCCGCGTGATCACGCAGGCGCCGGTTAGTTTTTTTTGGTAAGTTTTAATTGTGTGCACGCGTGTCCTCGATATTCCTCCTTTCGCCCTAAAAACCGGCCTACCCGGTAGCCAGCTTGCTCAGCCATTTCCTCAATCGTGCGGCAAACTTAATACGTTCAAACTTCTTTATCTAATTAACGAGGTGTCGTTTCTTTATTTACACCTAATTTCACCCGTCTGATGTTTCACTGAACTGATGAGTTTACTTACGTAAAGGAGCTCCGAGAAGAACTCTATGATATGCTCAATTACAGGACTCTCTCCAGGCAAACGAAAACTTTCCAGGAATGAACGAAGGGCTTCGTCGATTCTCAAATCGTGGAAATGGAAAGATCTGTGAATACATTTACAAATCAATTAGCAAAGAAGCTTTTCAAAAGCAAGTGTGCCCAGCGTTGTATACTTTATGTTAAGCCTGTCATTGCTTCTTCAACCGCTAAAAAGCAAACGCAGAGCCGACCTGACTAGCAAATCGGCACACATTTTTCCCGCGTTAGTCTGAGTGAGTTCTAATTGGCTCTTTGAACAGACCGATTTCTGCAGAATGCTTAATATAAAAGGTAATTAAGCTCGACGTCTTTTTAATTACGCTGTTTAAGAGACGTTGTTTTGCTTATCAATCCTTTTATCGCGTAAAGTAAAAAATATATATATCAAGAAAACAAGATACCTAACAAAGGCCTCCAATACTCGAGAGTTCTTTTTATCCCCAATGTAATCACCAATCGTCTTTTTATCCAAACGTGGGTTTTCACGCAGAAATTTCGCCATTTCTTCAGGATTGAGAGGCGAGGATAGTAAACCATGCTCTTGCAAAAATTCAATTCCTTTCTTCGGTTTATTGTTGAATTGTTCGGTCCCAGCTTGAAGAATCTGGAAAATTTAATTTAATTAACTCAAATAATTATGGCGATTTTATGTCACATGCGCAATTAATGTGCCCGCGTATGGCACCAGTTGTACGGTTTTCCCGTCCAATTTCCACCCACGGTACCACCGGATGTAAAGGCTGGCTTTCACTAGCGGCGGAGTCGGGGTCATAATCAGAAGCGTAGGACTTAACGATCCAGCGAAAACAGCGTTCTGATTCCGCTTACCAAACCGTCGTTTACGATCAGGTGAAAACAAGGTTGTTGAAGTCGCAAGCAGAAGCAGAAGAACTTAACCAACCACAAAGCGTGTGAACGTGCAGTGTGATTGGTTTATCCTTCGACTTCTGCTTCCAACTCCGACAATCTGGTTTCCACTAGATCTTCTCAAACTCATCAATAATTCATAAAGAAAATATGCTTACAAAGGAAATTCATGTTTAATGAGGTGTTTGGAAATCAGATAAAAATCTGCTCAATTTAGCATCCTTCCGTTTCTCCTTCTAAAATCATTTTGTTTGAGAAGCAATATCAAGCATTTGACGCAGTGTTTCATCACCAGTCATCCCGCGCTTGGAACGAGCTGCAACGGCAGGTTTACCTGCCCTTTTACGATTTTACGCCCTCGGTACACGATGCAGCTTCAATGTAGCAACTCCTGTTAGCTTCACAGTCTTTTTTCTACATAAACAGCAACAACGACAGAACAATAAAATACACTACAACGTACCTTTTTTCTTTGTCTGAGCGTAGCCAGTGTATCGGCGGTTGGAAACTGAGAAGAAAACAGTAACCCCATACACGAGTGAATCAGTTTATCACTAGTTTCGTTAGTCTTAAAACCTTTCTCTTGACTTCCCGGCAGCTCCTCCGCCATCACGCCTACTGTCATCTTCTTGGCCATGGCAAAGCCTGACGTGGGTGGGGAGGGTGGGGTTAAAGGCGGCGAGTCACAGTTTTCGTCTGTGCCTGAATCATCATCACCTGAAATATCAAATCAAAAATCAAAACAGCAAGCTTCTTTTCGTTGAAAATGCTACACGCCCTCGTAAAATTGTACTGGCAAATGGCGCCGACGATAACTTAATTAGTAAACTTACAAAAATATTAGAAAATTAACAGCGTATTTGTAACATCGTATGTTTCCAGCAGTGAAAAGTAGCAACCTTAGCTTTAAAGAAAAACTTTTCTTAGTTTTTGCAAATTTCTCTCATTCGACCGCGGTGAACATTTTGTTAACCATTCGGAACTTTGATAAATCACCTTACTCAGTATTTCTTTCTTTATTAGAGACCTTTAGATCTGAGGACGGACAAGAACGACAATGAATACGAGATTTGATTTAAAGTTTTTTCGCGTATTCTCAAAAAATAAAAACCTAGGAATGCTTCACTGTACTTTAACCTTTGTTTTTAATCCATAGATTGTAATAAATAAATAAATTTACCGGAGGAGGTTAAGCCCTCTCCAGATTGCAAAATGATAAAACTTTTAACATTTAGTCATTTGATATATTGTTTCCGCCAGTACGATATTCTTGCGAATGTCGACGTCTATCACGTTTTCCCGCCAAAATGACTAGCGAGCACAACTTAGTATTGAGAAAATCTCATACTCGCAGTCGTTCTCGTCTTAGAATCTAAAGTTCTCTATTGATCTTTTGGAAGTTGCGCGTGAGACTGGGGGAGTGTTGTCTCGAATTGCACTGTGGGACTGTGGGACTGTTTTCAGGGACAATTCGGACACAGTTTCCCGCCCAACTTCGTAACAGCCAATGAAAGTAGAGATGACGTCCTCAAAACAGTCCCACAGTGCACTTCAAAACAACACCTAACCAGTCTCCCGCTTAACAAAAACAACAACAACAACAACAACAATATTTTATTTCCCTTATTAAGGTTTACACGAGTGCAATCGCCCGCAGGTAGGCGGACCAGTCAATTTACGTGTAGGAAATATTTAATGTTACTTGATTAAAATGTGGAAAGATTTTACAGATTTACAAAAGATAAAGTTTTTCGGAAATTACCTGACTTTTCCTTCTTCTTCTTTTGAATTCCATTAGGAAAATTTTCCTCTACTGCCTTTTCCACTGTGTTCAACAACTGGGAATGGCAGTGACCTTCAATGCTTTGAACCACAGCGAGAAGCGCATCAAGTGCCAGGATATGCACACTGTATAGACTGCCAGCCGGAAAGGCATTCTAAAATAGAAAGCATAAATAAATCAAACTACCCGTGAATGATGAAGTTACAAACGACTGCAAGTGGTCCATCACTTGCAAAGAGAATCGAGGGATTGGCTCAATGTCTCCCCCTACCTAAGAAAATGATGGAAAGTGGTTATGGGTTTCGTAGCCTGAACAAATTTTCGCGACACCACCACTGGTTTCCCGCGAAATGACGTCTGAGAAACGAGCGCAGAAATTCCATACTGATGACGTGTCACTACCCAGACCTGGGTTGTGCTTTTGATTGAGTGAAGCAAACCTTCAGAGGTCCTTTAGAGGGGAAACCACCTTGGTCGCGTCGCGAAATGTAGGATGTTTTCTCAGGCTATGGGTTTTGAAAAAAAAAACACCGTCAACTCTGTGCGAGTGAATGAGGCCAAATAAAGAACGAATTCTGTTGCAACATCTTTAAAAATATGCCAAACTTTCCATTGAATGTAACTCTGGACACTCAGGCCTGGTGGAAAGAAAACCCGACAATAATATTTTCTGAAAGAAAGATGAACTCGATCTACATGTGTATCACCTTAGAAAGTAGTTTGCAGAGTTCCTCAAAGACATTAGTGCTGTAAATATCACAATCATAGTTGAGGTAAAGCTCCATTACTAGATTAGGAACACGGAATAACTGTAAAGAAAAAAATATATATATAGATAAGCTAGAAGATGGTACACACCTGATCAAAAAAAAGAGAAAAAAAATCAGCATTTCGAAACAAACTGTTTTTTATTATTTTTTTTTTACTTTACTACTGATCTGGCACAAAATTTTCTTTGCAAGGTAATGCACATGGACTGTTACCTGGTTAATTGCATCCAAGATTAGCTCTCTTTTCTCGTAATGAACACTTTGTAGATCTAATGCAAGGATGTCCATTAGCTTCTTAAAGAACATCTACAAATGACAAAAAAAAATGAAAATGTCGAGGAGTTCTGCTCCAGATTTGAGGTGTTAGATAAGCAAACATGTTCACCTGCATCTCAGTAATTGAAGAATTTCCAATTATCATCCCATCTGCAACCAAATTAACTTTGACCCCTTAACTCATAAAAGTAACTGCATATAAAACACACCAAGAGTAACCAAATGTGTTACCAACCTCCATTTGAAACTTGAGATGAACACGCAGACCTTCAAAAAGCAGGAAGCAGACTCTGAGGGCCATAGTGAACAAGCCAAGGAGATCACATTGAATGAGCTGCAGACAAGAACACAGACTTATTATTGTATTTCATTATTTATGGATGATGATTACATCAAATTTAGAAACACTCCTTGACATGGGATTCTTCTGCATATCCTTCCTTAATCAGCATTAACAAACATCTCATGGGGTTCAAAAAGCAATAAATCATGGGTTTGGTTTGTATTAAGGGCTCGGTCAGTTTCTTAGCCCTTTAAACCCTAAGATTGAAATTTGAATTCTCATTTGTTGCCCCTATTCATTTCCTACAGAAGTAGTGGGGAGTAGTTGATCAATCAAGCAAATTTATCTTGTGTGATCATGTCTATAATTCTCTTGACCACTCTGTTTTAACTGTGCATTGATATTACAAGGAGAAATTTGATGCTGATCACTCTTAGGGTTTAAGGGGTTAACCTGCAAGCAGGCTCACTTTTACAAGTTTACAGAAAATTTTGGTGGCAGGATCTGCCAGTGTGCAAGGAAAAGTGACTTTCCTTGCACCATGGGGGCTCTGCTGCTAAAATTTTCCTCAAACTAGCACAAATGGCACAAGTGATCCCTCTCGCAGGAGAGTAGTTTCTTGGTGTGTAGACAGGTGCAATTAACAATGACATAATACAGAGGACTGAAAAATACTGCCACACCACAATGCAATAACTAACCAACAATAGTTTCTGCAACACCAAGAAACACCCAGGACTCGCCGATCAATACATGCAAATGAGTGAGTTCATGTTTTTTTTTTCATTGTTTTATACTTTAACCTCCTTTTTCCTTTACCAAGACCACTGTTAGCTTCAATCTCAGATTTTCAGAGAATACCTACCCAAAAAAGATTCTTGCACATGTCATCCTTCACATAGTTCATAAGTGATGGAAATGTTCCGATGTGATGTGAACCAGATTCCAGAGCTACAGTTAACAGAGACAGGCCCATGTGGATCATGGCTTCTGAATTATGCCTGAAACCATAGTGTAACTCCCATTAAGGCGACTTCTTATTCAGTCCGCAAACAATTAACTAACAAATAATTTAAGTCCTCGGAATTCACTGTGATTAGCTAGATCAGGGGCACCCAATGACAGTTTTCTGTAAAATATCTGTTTGGAGAAGCAAAAACTGGCTAGAATTTTCTATAGCTTGAGGAAGGCTAAATACTTCTAGATGACCGTTCCATTTATGTACAATTTTCAAAGCTTATCTAATAAATATTCCCTATGATTTTCTAAAGTTTGATTTTTCGCATTTGACTCCCCAGGTTAGGCTATTTTTCGTAGGAAAAGGAAACCTAAAATTTTCGGATTCGTAAAACTTTAACTTGCATCTAAAATTTCCGAGAAGATAATACTGGCGCCGTTTTAATTTTGAAAAGACTCAAGTTGCCCTAGCATGATCAAACAGATACAAATTTCTATAGCGCCGCTTTAGAATGTATTTCTAGAGATCTAAAAGTACTCTTTACAGCGTAGAAAGACATTTCAATGTGTTTTGGACAAAACCGTCATTGGGTGCCCCCACTAGATGTGTTATATGCAACTGACATTTTAGGTGTAGTTTTGTAATGGCAGTATGCTTATTGCCGTAAAGGAGATATATAACCATAGAGCCCTGTTGTTGAAACAACGTTGAAATTAACTAAACAAAGAATATTACTGTTCTAGAAGATTCCAGTCCAAACCAAAAAGTAAACAAGCGTATGTGGGGAGCTAATTGAGGAACTAATCTAAACTAGGTGTCTGATCCAACACACAGAGAAAGGTACTTTATCATCACATCACTGCATCAATTGAGGATTGTTCTGTCATTTAAGACTGACTGGGGTTTCTTCGTGGAGCAGGAGGAAGAGGCAAGAGAGACAATCCTTTTGGCCAGGCTACCAACTTCTTCTCCAGGCAGGAGAATGATACTCAGTTGAGGGTCCAAAAACCTCTCAGAGAGAGTATAGCCACAAGCTACATGCACAAACCTACCTGTCATGAGGGTTAATGAGTGAAATAAGAAATCTGAACAGCTCCCTGATGCAAGGTAGTCCGTAAGGGACCAGGGGACCAGCACCTACCATGAAAGAAGAGAAACACAGATTAGTCAGCAGCAACTAATCTAGTCTGTCATCTTTTTAATTTTTTTTTACACTTGTACATGTAGATCTCTGATAGCCTAAACAGCAAAGCACACAATGTACATGTAGCACCACAGGCGGCCCAGACGTAGTATGTGTCACTGAATGAATATATTAATATCCACATGGACAAATTATTGTGATGAGTCGTCGAAACTCCCATGGACTAAAATAGTCTAAAAGTCAAAATATAACAAAACAAAGCTAAGATACCTTCAACTGAACGTATCCTTGTCTTTCCTGGCCGGTTTAAGCGGCATTTTGTTGAGTTTTGAAATTGTAGGTACTATCCACTAAAGAAGAATTAAAGGCTGGCTACAAAACAAACAGACCATCTCCACGCGCCTTCACACGAAGCGCTATAAATTCGAGAATAATCGACGAATCTGCTCCAAATAACCATCGGCTAATCTGCAGGTAACATGTGCTCCTGCTTCTGGCTCGCTTGCTCCACAAAACCCATCGCAACTGCACAATAATTGCTCGCTCATCAACAACCACTGTTGACCTTTACGCTCGATATGACCGCAAAACGACCAGGTTTAATACGCGACGTGACGCGACGTGAATATTCAAGCTTAGCGACGCGTTCGTCACAAGCAACAATGCAGCACTTGCTATGGGAGGGATGGTACTATTGCTTCCAGGTCAATCAATCGGAAAATAATATTGAAGCCCATGTAATTTTTTAAAAGATCCAATTTGCCCAAGGAGCACCGAACAGATACGAATCTTATAGCGGAGCTAAAAAAATGAGCGGCAGTGGAAAAAGTGAACAAGAACATATACCACATTTTCTCCATACAAAGTGAAAACCAGGAAGTTTTCTGGACGTTTCACGTTGCAGTCATGCAAATCAACGGCAAGGAAATGTACAAGAAAGTGTGCTGCAATTAGACCTATTGTTGTTTTTCACAGTTCTGGTCAAGGGCATCCAACTTTTAATTTTTCACATTTCACTCACCGGTTAGGCTATTTTTCGTAGAGTAAAAAATGGAATCCTAAAATTTTCGGATTCAAAAATGTGATGAAAGAAGGTATCTGAAAAATTATCTCCTTCAGTACGTTAAATTGCATCTAAAATTTTCGGAAAATAATTCTGAATTCCTCGTAATTTCGAAAAGACTCAAGTTCCTCTAGAATGGCCGAACACTGAGATGCAAATTTTATAGCGCCACTTAGAATGCATTTCTATAGAGCTAAAAGTACTTTATGAATAGCTACAGAAGTGTTTTCAATTGAAAGTATTTGAGGAAACAGTCGTTGGGTGGCCCTGTCTCGTTGCCTTCTCCGCTTAGCATTACACGATATATTTTATATTTAGTATGAGCAAACTATAAATCATTAGCTTCGCTTTTAGCCCTCCTAACTAAATATACGTAAGTGCTGTTTAGAATGCATTTTTTGATCAAAAGTACTCTGGACAGCCTTAAATGTGTTTTCAATGCCTTTAGGGGGAAATCATCGTTGGGTGCCCCTGAGTTTTGAGAATAATAATAATAATAATAATAAAAGATATCGCGCACATAAATTTTACTTTACGATATCTTCAGCTGTATCTTCTATTCAGCTGCATAGCGGGGGCCAGATTTTGCCTTTTTCCTGGGCGGAAAATTCTCGTCCTCCTTCACCAGTTTGGACAAAATATTATGGAGTAAGACGTTGTTAATCTAAGCAAATAAGTCTGGTAGAGTCAAGAACCTATGCAAGCGGCTGGACGAACAATGTGACAGCAGCTGAGACAGCGAACGTTAGAAGAATTCGAACTGGAAAACCAGGGCTGCCCTGTTGAAAACTTACGGACGGTCCCGCAATCGCCTTTTGTTTTCTGGTCAAAACTAACGCAGCTAACCTTCGGTCAGTCGATTGACCTAGAAGCAATAGTACCATCCCTCCCATAGCAAGTGCTGCATTGTTGCGCGAACGCGGTCGCTTAGCTTGAATATTCACGTCGCGTCACGTCGCGTATTAAACCTGGTCGTTTGCGGTCATATCGAAGCATAAAGGTCAACAGTGGTTGTTGATGAGTGAGCAATTATTGTGCAGTTGCCATGGGTTTTGTGGAGCAAGCGAGCCAGAAGCAGGAGCACACGTTACCTGCAGATTAGCCGATGGTTATTTGGAGCAGATTCGTCGATTATTCTCGAATTTATAGCGCTTCGTGTGAAGGCGCGTGGAGATGGTCTGTTTGTTTTGTAGCCAGCCTTTAATTCTTCTTTAGTGGATAGTACCTACAATTTCAAAACTCAACAAAATGCCGCTTAAACTGGCCAGGAAAGACAAGGATACGTTCAGTTGAAGGTATCTTAGCTTTGTTTTGTTATATTTTGACTTTTAGACTATTTTAGTCCATGGGAGTTTCGACGACTCATCGCAATAATTTGTCCATGTGGATATTAATATATTCATTCAGTAACACATACTACGTCTGGGCCGCCTGTGGTAGCACATCACATTTACTTGCATGTTTTATTGCTGAAACAAAGAATACATAACAATTTTCAGGAGATCCAATCTTTTGTTTTCAATGTCAGAAATACACCCGTAACACGTACAATACAAAACAATGCTCAAAAAGAACTGTTACATGATCGAAGATCCAGGGCCAACTAAAAATGCGTGAACAAAAACATAAGGACTACCAGATATCCTGAAGATACATGTGCATGTAATTTCTAAAAGAAAGTGTTAAAATGTTTACTATGTACCTTCTTTAACAGGTTCTTGGGGTGTGAATCGCACTCCACGTGGGTTCACATAGTCATCTTGTTGCAGACTGGACTCTGACTGGGTACCTTCAGTAACTTCTGACAGGTCTTCTGATTCCACCGTTTCTAATGATGCCGTGCTACCCATTATTTCTTTCCTGTCATCGTTATCCTCTTCTGTCATAAGGGTGCTGGCAACACTTTCTTGGCCATCCTGAGAAGTTTGAACAAATGCTACAGTTGTAAATGGCAATGGAGGACGAGTTTGAAACCGACAGCAAAGAAGACGATGAATGAAAACTTCATTCGTGAAGTCAACAAAACAAAACGGCTCCTTTAGGAGCCACCACTTGAATAAAAGTTTATGACCAACAGCAATGATTTTCGTGCGCAAACTACTGGTAATTTGTGTTGTTGATAATTGCTCTGCTTATAGCCGAATATAAATATTTAACTGAAGCTTTTGCAGCATTAGAAAATTTTTTTTTGCAAAAATATTCAGCTACAAGCCAAACGCCCTATCTTGTAGAAATTTCACTAGTTTCCAGTTTAATTAATTGGTGCAAAAATCGCTTGGCTTATAGTCGAATAAATATGGTATCTCTGTACTGTACATGCATAGTTTATCTGTGGGAAGTTAAGACACACAAAAGAGCCACAACTAAGGGCTGATTGCAGGCTATAAAGAATTTGCACACATTTTATACCCTGTCCCTATACCTGCAGCTATGATTCAGTGATAACAAAAATAACGATTTGCTTAACTCATACCTGTTCAATAACCTTGTCACATCTTCCTTCCTGTTCATTTTCAGACATAACCAGTCCCTCAACACTCAAAGTATCTCCCTCAACCTGACTGCCCATCAGTTGTGAGGCTACTGATGGCTCTCCCTCAGGTAGGGGCTCTGTGGCATTAGTACATTCTTCAATAGACTTCTCTGTGTCCCCACCAGGAACGGCCCCCTCTGGTACCACTTCAGGTTTTTCAGTTTCCTCCTCATTAACCATCTCTTCGTTTTCTTTAGTTTCTGTATTTACTTCTTCTTCTACCACTGCTTTGAGTTCCTCTTCAATCTTGCTGATCTCTGGTTGTGGCTCTAAGGCTGGTTGTGGGGCTGGTGTAGTTGTTGGACCTGACGTTGTTGCCGAGGTAACAGAAACCTCCTCTTGATGGGCTCTCCTTGGTTTAGGTGAAAAGTGTTTTTTCCTCTTTCCACTTGAAATAGCTCCAGCACGTTTGAATACCTAGAATGAAATAAAATTCCTTCTAAAACAAATAATTATAATAATTTGGAATGGAAAGGCTGTATACTTTTCAGTAACAACCAAGGAGACAAAGTGACACTCAAGCTTTATTTTCCACTCAATTCCATTTTTTGTGTAAAGCTAATCTCTCATATTAACCACTGTGATTTATCCATTGTAATAATTTTCTAATATAAATAACAGTAGAAAGTAGACTTCCCATTGAACCATTCACACTCAAAAAGGATACTTGAGAAAGGCAAAAAATCTGAGCAAGGTGTGACAACTGGAAAAAAATGCGAGGAAGAGGAGAGACCACAGTAGAAAGATTAAGTGTAGTGTTTTTTCCACTATTTTGTGATCATCCTCTAGTGAATTATGTATTGAGACAGGTCTACTGTAACTTGTACAATAATTAAGCAACTTTGAACCTACCTTTCTTATGTTGGTAACTACTCCTGATTTTAACTCTTCTTTGAACTGAGGGAGTCTGAAACCAAACAGGCACATTAACAGACTCACAAGTTACATTTTGATACTGCTTTGATCTGTTCAAAAAGAATGACGAAAGCTCTTGCAAGGAATTTTCTTGGGCATTCACCTTTTTGGAGAAAGTAGGGCCATGACCTAATGATTCTTCGACAGTCTTTATGATTAAATTCTGACAAAAATAAGCACTTGTTATATATAAATGCAGGGGTTTCATTATGGTAGAGTGCAGACCCTTTATTTTGATGTTTTACCATTGCCTTCTCTAACCTGATTTCTTTATTTTTTAGTTTACTTCAGCACTTGCAAAAGGAATCTGAAAGTGCCACTACATGTATCTTCAAATGATTTTTTTGAATTAATTTTCAGGTGCTGCATCTTTAACTGTGATGATCTGCTTGGTATTTAAAAAATGAACAAGAATGCTCTTACAGCAGCGTTAAGTCTCACTTGCATGGAGATTAGATCGAGAAATGAGGAGGCGATTAATTCTACACGAAACAGGATTTACTCGCTAAAGAATTGATTTAGTACGCGTGTTAGCAACGATCAGAAATACCTCTGCAATTGCAGGCTATACGTGTGTATAAATACTCGAAAACTCAAGGGCCTTGATTCCAGAAAAATTAGATCATTGCCAGAGATCAAAAAAGTGATTGACATGGCACATAATTTCATCGCATGCTCATCACATGACCCATTTACACACAAATGTATGTTTACAACACCCCACCATCGCAGTTCAGCTAATTCAGATTCTTCTTTTTTTTTTGACCACTGTAGTGTTCACTATTAATTGTCTTGTTCCAAAGTAATCAATGCTTTCAAGCGATTTGTGGACCTGTTGTGGAAAAGCTCTAAATTTAATCTTTTCTAAGCTTTCTTTGCAAAACACATGTGGCTTTAGTCACGCAACGATTCTTATTCCCAGTTTTCACGGTCTCTGCTAGGAACGCCTGGGACCACAACCCCCTTTTTGTGTACTAAATACAAAGAAAAAAAAAACAGCTTGCAGATTACAAGTCTTGCTTCTTACACAGGCAAGTCTAATAATATACATAATTAATTTCCATGGCAAGGGATATAATACCTTGAAAATAAAAGCTGCACCATATCCATCAGGGTTTGTTCAGCAGAACGGCGAAGAAGTTCTACAGAACAACAAAATGTTATAATTAACTTAAATAGAAGCCAAACCTCTGAAACTGTTTCTTTGAAGAAAAGAATTTACCAACGTTGATTATTTAATGTTAACTCACCAGTCTTAGTTCAAACCGATTTACTTTTCAAGAATATGGCTGACAAATCTTTACATACCACTAAGTCTTGTTTCAAAACAAATCCTAAAACACGACTGCATGATTTCACAAACAGACTCATTTGTCATGTGGGCGCCTACAGGTGTCAACAACAGAGTACGGAGAACCTGTTGAACATACAGACAAGTAAATTAATTAGACCTTTTTTTAATAATACTGTAATTATACAGTAGTTTAACCATATGATACTTAATGTAAGCTAATACACTGTATCGTGACATGAGTCATTGCCACAGTCCGTCTGTGAGCTGGTGCCTAGATCCTTGTTATGGGCCCTCTGCTGTGTACCGGGATTAGAGTGTGTGCAATGATTGGCCTGTTAAAAATGCCATTGTATATTTGCCGATCATTTTGAGGGAAATTCCAAACACATTTCCAAAATTTCATCGAGTCCATTGGGAAACAGAACAAGGATCTACGCACTGCTTTGCAGACAGGGTTAAATTAAATCTGCGACACAGGCTAATGCAACGTGTATCTTGTGTGCTACATGTACCATCTTCAGTAAACCAAGAACTATTTTTTGTGGCCCCATTTCGGAAGATTCAAGACATAATAACTAAAGGTATGTAAATGTTACTAGTGTCTTGAAGTCTTAAAATACAGTTTTTGTTCAACATACAATAAAGTACCTGAAGAATTTTCATAAGCACTACTTCATCACTACTTGGGTCCGTTCCAACAAATCTGGCATGTGTAACTGCATCTGCAAGATTCTCAATGCCGGAAGCAGCACTTTCACAGGTTGGATCTGTCAAGAAAATTAACAGGACACAATAACATGAAAATTGCTATTATGTTACGTACATGTACTACTAAACAAGTGGAGTGCAAAACAAAATTGGAAAATTATGCGGATTTCTAGCAGCTCACTGTAATAATACATGTATGTTATATTGTTCAGCCAATTAGATCTCCCTGGAGTAGATTTCAACAGAATTGATAATGGGTGCCACAAGACATCCTCTCAATCCCTTCCACCCCCTCCCCGGCTCCCCCTCACCCTCCCCTACCAGATCTAGTACTAAAACATGGTTTAGTACTACACATACCAATAAGGCCATAAGATAGAAACTTGTTGACAGATGACAGTGCCACCCCTGTGATGGGTCCTGTGGTATCCTCTGATCTGATCACATCAAGAAATGGCCCCAAGAATGTATTAACATCTATTTCACTTAAATCTGCCAATAGAATAAAGTAGGAGTCAGTTTCACACCACAGCAAGGAAAGTTTAGTTAGCAAGAGTAGCCTTTTTAATCGTTACAATCATGAATCATGCAGTTGTTTTTTCAGTTTTGGAAGTGCTGAGAGGGTTTTGACCTCAAACTGTTACCAAAGAAATTAAAATTACACACAGAGAGACTCTTCTTAAAGCTGAGATCTACATATAAATGTAACATCCCCCGTGTACAGTATCTCCGAAATGTATTTCCGTGAAAGCCAGAACAGGACAGGTTTGGAGACCATGTTGATTTGTTCCCAGCAAAAGCAAATCATGATCAAGTCCAAAGTATATACTGTTTTTAAAACAAACTAATTTTCAATAGTTTGATGCATATGAAGAGAGTTTTTCTAGATAAAGCTGTAGTGATAAATGTACAGCCCAGGAGAAAAGGTGTAAAAGTTATATCAGCCATGTTAAAGACAGCAGGTGTTGTTGATTATGATGTCTTGTCTTAAGAGAGAATCACAGTACAAAAATTTATTTTTACAACCATACAAAAGAGGGCTTATGTTTACAGTGTTCTAGAACTACCAGGTCTATTAAATCAGCCAACAAACTTCCCCATGAGAGAGTAAATACATTTAATTTAACTGGAAGAAACAAAAATTATCCAAGGTAAAAAAGAACAAGCAGAAATACACAAGCAGGTGGCGAAATTTTACCCAAAATGAATGTCTGAAAAACAGTGTGAGTCTCGTCTTCTACTCTAGTAATGACATTATCAGAACTACACAAGACCTAATATACACTGTATGCAATGCCAGATTTATAAAAACTATTTGTTCATTTTCTTCACCTACGGTGTTTCATATGAGTTATTTTAGCATTCCATTCTTTCTTGAATGTGGCAACAGAAAAAGCAAAAGCAATTTGATTACCAGCAACCAAAAATCAGTTTAAGTACTATAAAGTAAATAAGCTATATAACGATGAAAATTTCTTCTCAACCAAATAATAAAATAATGTAATCATGAGAGACAATACACTGTACATACTCGGACGAACTTGGAGCTTTGCGGTTGTTAAACATGCAAAATCCAACATTTTTAAAAGTCTAATCCCTCTGGTTGAAAGGACATAATTGCATGTTATTCCAGAGTGACAAGAAGCCAGTCATAAATTATTTAATATTTAAATCAAGAGATCAAAGTTTATTGCAAAACAAAAGCTAAGTACCACTGTACCACCTGCATACATGTGGATGCAAAAAGCAATGGGAGTAAGGATAAAAATATTAAGACTAGAAACTCTGACTATCAAAACTCGATAATCAAAAAATAAATTCTCCACTTAATTTCGTTATTTGAATAATACTCCCAGATAGTGCTCCAGTCTCCAGTACATGTCTCTACATCTCGAGGATAAAATCAACTTTTGAAGTTTTTAATTTCTGTGCTTTAAGTTGGGATTTAGCCCAAACTTCTCCAAAAATCCAAAACAATCTCTATCATATAAGTACTGTCTTTGTACTAGTGTGACAGTGTAGTTATGTTGTGTGTTGTGTGTGTTTTCGTTATCTTAATTATCACCTGCTTGTAAATTATGCACGCAACGTTCAGTTGTGAGAAATATTGAAATAAACATTGCATGAATTGTAGAAAAATTTATCAGTCCGGAATATCCCTAAATTTAAGGACAGGGCCAACTGGTCACGCGACACTTTTCAACCAATGAGAAGGCACGCTTGTGTTTATCAACAAACAAATCAAAACATCGCCCCACTGATCAAAAATTTTCAAAACAACGGACGGAGTCGGACAGAATCAGTCATCGTTTTGAGGCTCTCAGGCATATTTTTAAGACTTTTTATGAGGCATACACAATTTTTTTAAGTAGACAGCGTATCGGAAGCCATATTGGAAGTGTCTCGTGAAATATATTCAGCACATTTTGTGGCTTATTTCTTCTTTTATCTTTTAAACAACGCGATGTATAGGAGAGATTTTGGTCGGTTTTCAAGGTAGGTGAACACGTATATATTATTTTTTCGATTCACAGATTTTCACGAAGTTCTAGATAATTTTCCTCGATTGTCATATCGATTAACTTTTATCATGTTGAATGTGGGGATGGTAGACAACCTAGAATTTTGGTAGACAATTTTTGAATTCCGAGGTCCGAAACACGTATGTTTTCCACTCCCGCGTTTCTCACAAAAGCCGTGTTATTACTTTTTTCGCATTAGTACGAGCCTTTGCCTTTTTACTTTTCAAGGCCAAAACAACTTTATTAGTCTTATGGATATTCACGTCCAACATTTCGCCCCACTTTGCCGAATTTACGGGGATGAAATTGAAGATCATATTAAAGCGCAAGGTAGATACTAACCGCTTTGTTTCTGAAATTCACTAATCTGGAAAGATTTAATGTTGTTGGATTCTCCAAATGTTCATCCACCATTAAAAAACAATCAAATAAACAAGGCAAATCTCAATTGTAAATGCTGTATTTCGCTACTCATTGGACATGAACTGATTATCTGGGATAAAATTAAAACATTGCAGGTACTACAGCAAGCAAAGAAAGCACCAGATGCGTGAAGTCAACACGAAACAACACAAAAAAACAAACAAGAAAAATTAATAAATTTGAACTACTTTCTATTCTTGTTATGATGACTGGTTCTTTGATTCTTGTCCTGTAGAAGTTAATAGGTAGTACCAATCCTGTTTTGTACGATCTCAACAAATTTTCACTCTCTCTCTAAGGCTATTTTTACACGGGACCAGTTGCTTCTATCAAAAATCTTGCAAGCCATGCCAGTGAAGCCACGACCTCTGCGATCGGTCCGGAATCAGTTCGAACACCCCAATGATTCCCTTGCAATGATTAATGCTCTTATTCTCTTACATGAAATGTTTTCTTTGAAATATTAAATGTGAAACCTAGACGAGTACGGTAAGCTCATCTTTAATTCTGTCCGACTCCGTCCGTTGTTTTGAAAATTTTTGATCACTGGGGCGATGTTTTGATTTGTTTGTTGATAAACACAAAGCGCGCCTTCTCATTGGTTGAAAAGTGTCGCGTGACCAGTTGGCCCTGTCCTTAAATTTAGGGATATTCCGGACTGTTTATGGTTCTTTAAGTGGCAGCATTATTGCACATATTCATGACAAAGATTATTTTTGTCTTAACAGTCATGGAAGTGACAGTTAAAAGTCTGTTCTTCACATAAGGCTGATAATAACGTCCTGATCCACAAGGTACCCACTTTATGATTTTGGGACTACAGCTGTAGGTTGATTTCTGTATGGGTGGGCTCGGTTGATATTTGAGAAGGGGTGAGTTCCAAAATAGGCTCCTTAGATTTATTTTGTAAAATCTCTCTTATTTTAACAGACTGTTGAACATTTTTTTATGACTCACTTTACATAAGAAACAATCTTAAGACGTTATGTCTTACATTTTGTAATAATGACAACCAATAGCATCACTACTTAATTTGATCAGTCAGCTGAGGTCAAAATCAGATTTTAGTACCACAAACTGATGATACACAAATCAAAAACTGACTCTGAAGACGACTAGACAAGCTGTTGAAGTATCAGTCGCTGTTAACGACAGTTAACAGCGAAAATAGGCTCCTTAGATTTATTTTGTAAAATCTCTCTTATTTTAACAGACTGTTGAACATTTTTTTATGACTCACTTTACATAAGAAACAATCTTAAGACGTTATGTCTTACATTTTGTAATAATGACAACCAATAGCATCACTACTTAATTTGATCAGTCAGCTGAGGTCAAAATCAGATTTTAGTACCACAAACTGATGATACACAAATCAAAAACTGACTCTGAAGACGACTAGACAAGCTGTTGAAGTATCAGTCGCTGTTAACGACAGTAATTCAGGACTACACTCACCCACACAGTGATATTCCACCAGCCTACATTTGTGCAGTGCACAAATAACTGCTGGGTTCAATAGTATATTACAGGACTTCTTCATAATTAGAAACTGTTGGAGATTTACCAATATAAGAAGCCACAAATTTAAATGAGAGGTTACTCTTTAAAGACTTATTAGAGCATTACCATCTGTTTCTTCAATAACACTTACAAAAAAAAAATAAATCTATTGATGCTGAAAGGCTATGCACTAAGAAAAATTGAAGGGAGCAAAAGTTAGGTCCAGGGCCCACCAGGTACTACCAGAGCAGCATTGTGTTGTCATTTGATCTGCTTTATAATACACTTAGGTACATGTTCTGGTAAAATCTGTTCTTAGCTCATAAGATGGAATCCATCAGGAAATTAAGTAATTTTAATTCTCAGGAGACAAAAACCTTGTACCAGAATAATTTACACCATATTGCATTCTTTTAAATACATTTTTCACGTGCTATAGATGTAATTAGTTATGTGTAATGACACCAAAGAAAATTTCTTATGGGAGCTCGCAAGAATAAAATTAAATGTCACATTTCACAAGAATTGTGAAAAAAACAGGAAAAGTTCTGAAAATTTCGTGTGTAAGACGTCATTTTATGAAGTTTGATATTCATTTTCTCGCGCTCCATAAGAAATTTTCTCTGGTGTTATTACACATAACTAATTACATCTATAGCCCTTGAAAAATGTACAAACGAATGCAATATTCTTTAAATCATTCTGGTACAAGGTTTTTGTCCAGTGAAAATTAAAATTACTCAATTCCTTGTGGATTCTCTCTTAAAACTTTTTTCAACCTGTTAGGGACGGCTGCTTGCTGGGGTTCTAAACCTCTAGTAACCAAGGATGAATACTGGTTTATCCTTAGATGGATTTTACCTAAAATAACTCACCAGAAACAGTGACAAGTTGGTCTTTGAGCTGAGAAAACCCATGCAACAAGGGATCTTGTTCTTCATCCTAAAAGCAAATTAAAGAAACAACAGATTAATCTGATTTAGTGCTTAGCATCCAACATGCTGCTGTTGTGGACTACACTTGTTTGTGTTTTCTTCCGTCGTTTTGATACAAAAGCTGTTGAAGTTTTCCTCCCGGTCCCAGTAGTTGAAAAGGTGGATAGCACTATCCGATGGATAAATCTCTATCTAGTGGAGAAAGCAATAATTGGTTTCCCAAATACTTATCTCATGTTTCAACAACCAGGGCCTGAAGTATCTACAACTCTCAACAAAAGTGATGTGAAAGAAACCCTTCAAAAGCTGATGCTAGAGTGCAGGACAAGAAGACTGGAGATGATCTCAGGTTACACTGGTATCAACCTAGTTTTATTCAAAATTTTCTATGTTATTCATAGCAGATAAAGAGAAATTCTGGTTTAATCTGAGAACAAATTTTACCTACAAACTCTATTATGCTGGTATGCATATGATGTCACAAGTGCTAATGTTAGCAGTCAAGAACTATAATATTTCTCTGCTACAAAGAAAGCTCTATTTTTTTTTTATGACGGATTGACTACCAATATGGCTGCATTGTCACATAAATGAAAAGCAATAAATTATGTAATGTGAATGACTACCAACTGGATGCCATGTCACTTCAGCAGAAAGCAATCAAAATTAGCCGAATATCCTAACATTACCCATACCCATTTTTGATTATTAAAGTTTACTGAGTTTTGAGGATAACAAGTTATGTACAATCCTGATGTTTCACACTTACAGTTCCATGACGGTGCTTTAAGATCATTATGCTCTTCTAAGATCAATTTAATTTTAATACACAATATCAATAACGTCAGTTCTAACTATTAAATTATCCCATGCACACAGCGCCGGTCAAATGCGGAAGATCCGAAAATGCAAATTAAAATAAATTGCTTAAATATTAGCTTTTTGTAAAGGCTTGGACTCCATAAAAAATACGGAACACTTTCTCATCGACAAGCAAAAATTTATTACACCGGTCGTCCAGTGACCTAAGCCCGATTCAGCTTGCTCAATGCCACGATATTGTCAGAAATTTTAATACATAGCAATGTTTGCCTTCAATTGGTAAATTTGTTCCTAGAGTATTATTTTATATTTCGTTCGTTTTACCTGATGGCTATGGGAACCTCCTCGAGTGTTTCTTCGTAAAGCTGCCACGACGAGAGACATCTCGCCTTGAACGATGTAGACGCCATTTCTGGGGGTCATGGGACCTTGTTCTTCGACTTTAAACATGAAGATTCCAAACTCGATGGACGAGTTTTTATGCTGGTTAGGTGTTACAGGTGTTAATGTTTTATCCTGAACCTTAGAAACATCCCTGATCGCAAGGGAAGTAAGTAAATATTAAATAAATCAAGATCCGGTCATTTCTTACAAAATTTTGAAGGAGGACATTTTGGATGTAGATCCGCTGACGTCACGGGGTTACACGCAGGCGCTAAAGGAGAGAAACCTGGACCGAAGTAGTTTCAGTCTACACCGCGGCCAAGGAGGAAGCCTGTTGAAGAATTACCCAGTAACCTAAAGTTTATAGTCTAGAATAACAGGACAAGTATGGAGGGAAAAAATACCGCACTTTCCAAACATCTAGAGGCCTACCCTTATCAGATAGCCGGCCATTTAACTCAAGGTTAGTTTTTGGAACTTACAGGAAATTTATACGGCGAAAATCACTCATGATATAATATTACCGGGCAGGTAGCATATCTTGGCAAACTGCATGAATTATACATTTCAGTAACGTTAATTATTTTCTATCCCTCCTTACAATCTGTACGTGGGCAGTTTTTTTGTTGTAGCTTCCACGTTGTTGTTTCCGTGGTCAGCAAAAACTGTCACTTCAATTTTTTTCTGTACAATTTTCATTTGCAAGATTTTATTTTTTGGGGAGCAAGGTTGGTGCAGTGGTGAGGGCACTCGCCTCCCACCAATGTGAGCCAGGTTCAAATCCCGGCATTAACATGGATAATGACTTTGTTGTTGGTTTTCTCCGATCTCTTTTTCTGAGAGGTTTTTCTCCGCGTATTCTGACTGGTATTCCCTCTCCGCAAAAATCAACACTTCCAAATTTCAATTCCATCTGGAACACATGGACACTTTTAAACGAGTGCTTTAAAACTCCTTAGTGCTTCATGGTAAACAAATGTTGCATGTTTCTCTTTTACACTTGATTTCTCTCTATCCTATAGGCAGCATTATTGTGGGCCAGTCAGAATAATAATACTATTATTACAAAAAACGACTTATACAATTGATGTTTTTTTTTTAATTTTAGAGAAAACAATATCTGTGGTTAGATAATTGTTTTTGAAATTTAATCTTATCATAATTGGTCTTTTTGTGCATACATAGCAACTTAAGGTTACCAGATAAGTAAAAATCTTAGTGAAATGTGACATAATTTGAAATAATTTATATCTTTTAGAACCACTTAAGGTGACTGTAGATGGCTGTGTACTGAAGCAAGTACAAAGGCCTCCAAAGGGGGAGAGAGAAGTTGTCTTCTATGAAACTGTATTTGACAAAAAAGAAGAAAGAGAAGAAATTCTGCAACTGAGAAGATTTCTGCCCGTCTATCATGGAATTGTGGAATTGGGTATCCTAAGCATGTACTGCGGTTGTGGAGGTTTTGGGGTCCGTTCCCCTTTCCTGTTGACCTCATTCCCAGGATCTCCCTTCTCTCTGTCAACTTCATTCCCAGGGTCTCCCTCCTTCCTGTCCACCCAGTTCCTAGGGCCCCCTTCCTTTCCGTCAATCTCACTGTACAGGCAGCCTTGTTCCCTTAAAGTATCTCGATCTCTTCCTCCTGTCAAACCTCACCCCTAGAGTCTCTCTTCTTCCTTCCCTTTAACCTCATTTCCCAGGGTTTCTTTACTTTGATCCCTGTCAAACATAATATTTTTATAACTGCATGCGCATTGGTTAAGCTAAGAGCTATTTCCTATTTCATAAATTGAGACCAATTTCCAGGGTGCAAAGAAAATCATTTTTACACCTTGCCATTCGGACAAGCTGAAGTTAGCATTTACTAGTCCTGACTTCATTTCAACTAGTCCCAAAAGCGTTTTGACCAGTAGAATTGATTTCACAGTTCCTCTGTTATTCAAATTCCTCAAAGAACATCACTTGCCCGTCGGGCAAGTTAAAAACAGACTTCACTAGCCCGGTAGCAAAATCCGCTAGCCCCAGGCTATCGGACACCACTTTCTATGCACACTGAATTTCCTATTGTTTTAACTCTTGTGACATCAAAATGTTTAAAAAAGTAGAACCAACAAATTTCAGGGTAAAAGACAAAGGAATTTCAAAATAATTTATTAGTGTCACTACCGGTATGTGGAATTATCTTTTTTAATGACATAACCAACCAGTGATCTCATGAAATCTTCTTTATTGTCAAAAGGGTCTCAAATAATATTTATGAATCCTTAAGCGTGAAGCTTAGATTCCTCAAGGTATTTAAAACTTGAGAACATCACCACCAAGTTTCGTCTGCCATGTGTTATGGATATTAAGATTGGTAAGGTGACATGGGAAGATGATGTTGATGAATCATTTAAAGAAAGAAGAAAAAGAAAATGGCCCCTTAGAGAGAGAGCTGGATTTAGCATCCTTGGTTTTCTGGTATGTGCATGAAAACAGGCTTTAAAAGGAGAAGAGAGAATTCTCTTTGCGTGCCCAAATAACCACTTTAATGCATGCCACACAGGCTAATAAAAAATTATGTGGCTAATTTTTGTTATGGTAAAAGAAGTTTTAAAGTATTTTTTCGGCTGTTTGTTTTTCCTTGGATTTATAAGTATCTGGTAAGCGAGGCATCAATTATATTTTGATTGAGAACCCTTGGTAAGGTGAACACAGACCAAAGAAAAAAAGAATTTACACAAAAGATGTGATGCAAACCAACAATATTTTTCTCAGGACAAGACAATAGTGTTTAGACTTAATAAATAACTGAATATTGATCATTAACATTCAGTGATTTTTTTAAAAATGAAAGCTTATGTTAAAGTCTTACCCGGTAAACCTTCTGGAAAAAATGACGCAACTAAGTTTGTGTTATTCTATACACCAAGAACTCTTCACACTGTTCAAGCTTGTGTCTTATGAACTCAACAGGTTTATAACCATAAAACATGCTCTTATGAACGTTTTATGCGTGAATACTGTATGAAACTGGCAACCATGGAAGATGCTGAAAGAAGTAAGTACACCTCTATTTCGATTATAATGTTATTAATTATGATAAAATTATGACATTTCCTACTCATTATGGCAAGTCTAGCAAAATTCTGGCCAAGTGAAACATGGGGAAGTGGGGACTCACTCCCATGTGAACATATACAGTTAAATACCCTCATACTGTGTTGGAGAATGGTCTCCTTTAAGGTTCAAGTCGTGCTTGTGCCACACCCAGGTTAGTCTCCTTTTTGGGTCTATTTTATTTCCCAACAAGCAGCCGTGCCTCTTTTATATGGGAGCCCCCAACTTGACTATAATCAGAGAAGTTCCTATACACAAGAATGAAAAACTCGAGATGCTTAGCGTACACGCGCGTTGTACAGGCAAATTAATGGATAACCATTTTATACGGACACCTCATTATTACAGACAGTTCGCTTTGTCCCTGGGGAAAGAAAGCCCGTACATTTTCTCCCCATTCAACCTGCTTAATACGGACACTTTCTGTGGCCCCCCAGTGTCCGTATTAACAGGGTTTGACCGCAGTAGGGAGTGTTTTCCTGCCATTCTCACCCCTCCAACATTTTGTAAAATATGAGTGGAAACCAAAAATTTAACAAGCTCCTTAACAGTGACCCCTGCAACTGCTGCACAATGAAGGCGATCACTTGTAACCGTGGTGAACAGTCACCCCTTTCCCATGATAGGCCAGTGTTGGTATGAACAGGGGACAAGGGTTTGATTTATAGTTGCTTCTAAGTTACTTGAAACTGTGGAGTGTGAAGACCTTACCGAGCAGCCTAGACTATAAGCAGTCAGTCTTATTTCTTAGTCCGACAAGCGAAACGCGCCCAACACAAAAATGACCATGCACATGATGGAAGGCTGGAGACAGGAAAGGCACCTGCCCTCATTCCTTGCGCCTTTCACAAGTGTGTGCACTCTTACTAAATCTGAAGAAAAAGCCGAGACTCCTCGCAGTTTATATAAGAGCAGCCTGCTTTCCTGGCAGGTTTAATTCCAGGCACCTCTTCAATCTAAATCTCTATAATCTTTGCAGCCTTTTGCAAGTTTATGGGCAGTGTCAATACAGAATGGACTCTGCATATACTAGAGCAACTCCTGAAAAAACTCACAGAGATTGAAGAGTGGTTCAAGACTCAAAGACTGTACAGATTTATTGCAAGTTCTATTCTGATATCATACGAAGCAGACTGCCATCAAAATGTTGTCAGTAACTTTACATCATCCAATGACAGAACTTCATCTTTTGTCTGTCAAGACCAATCATTAACTGACAGTGTGATTGATCCAAATGTTAGCCCACATTTGCCTTCAACAAGCCACCAACAGCTGTTGAACAGAACTTTGGTAGATGCAAGGATAATTGATACTGCTCATGTATTTACAGCTTCAGACACTGACTTCAACTATTTGTTTGGCTTGGAAAACATTATCTTGACTGTTAAACGCATACAGAAAAATTTTAATTAAACATTTGGTCAAATCTTCTACCCCACATTATCGAAGTTGCGTGATTTTTGTGTTATTCTCTGGCCTGTTTGACTGAATCATGCTAATTTCTTACAGTCTGAAAGATTACCCCCTGCATATAAGTTAGACAGACATACACAGTTTACAGGTAGCCATAAGTGATTGCGACTCTTGAAGGGGGATCACAAGGTTATCCCTATGGTTAAAATCTCTCCTTACAGATTACCCACCCAGCCCAGGAGAGGTTGGCCACACCACCAGGGTCTATGTCCCCTACTCTTATCAAACAGTGGTGTGGGTTCTTTTACATCCCACAAGAACCAGATGAGTGAAAGTGCTGTGAGACGGGACGTATGGTTTTTCATCCTTATCCAAGAAGACTAACTGTTTGCAGATGTCATTAAAAAGGCAACACTTTTCTTCTCAGTCATTTTAAGACCCCAAGGGTTGGTTTGGCCAGGGTTTGAACCTGTGATCTCTTGCCCAGCAGACCAGCACTCTCCCAACTGAGCTAACCAGGCAGCAGCAAAAGACATCTCTAACTAAGATTTTAAAGGGAAGTACAAATGAATAGCAGATAACATCCCAGATAGTTATTAATTTTTGCGAGCATTTTCTGGGCTGTTTGACTCCATTGTGCACATTTTGGGCAATCGTAGGACCAGGCTCCTGGATGGGAAAAAGGCAATTAATGGGTAATTTATTTTGAATGGCACACAAATATCAGTTAACAAAGCGAACCAAGTTGGGTACTGGGTAGGGGGAATGGGTGGCACCAATCCCTTCCCCTACTCTGTTTGCCTCTTTCCTCACACCCTTGGACTCAAAATGAAAACAAATTATAGCCTACCATTTTTTTTTTTATTTTTGGCAAGCCTTACAAATTTTAACCTGTCATATATTTTTCTGATCTGCCACCTACAGTATTTCTGACATTTTTGCTATTGATGAAATCATATTGACTTGATTTTCAGTACGAATTTCATTTGTTGACTGACAAGATGAAGAAAAGATTCATGAAATAAGACAAAATGACCTACACACTAAAATCTAGACCACGAGTAGTCTCCTACTTTTTCTTTTAAGACATGGTAGAATGCGAGCACATGGAAGGGATGAGGGGCAAATCCACGAGAAACAAGGGAGGAGCCCAAGTGAAGAAAAAAATCTCTCCTTTTTTGCCATTAATTTGCATAATATTATTTTTAACTTTTCCCCCACCCGGTGTGGTTCTGAGGAAAGGAGGACGACCGCTCACGGTCGAACTAAAATCACACACATGCATGTCATAGCTTTGGAACTGTTTACCCACTATTCCCTCAGTAATTATTGTAGGTAGTACCATTTTTCAGCTTTAATTTAACATTACAAACTTACATCGGGTAGAAAGGATACCACTTCAACAACCGATACTCAATAATAACTCAGTCATCCATACAGTTATTACACATTATGCCAAAATTGAAGAATAAAATAATGCAATACAAACTCTCAAGAGCCTGTAGTTTTGACCTTCATTCACAATGCATGAACTCTCTTACTGTTATAAGGCACTGGTTCTAGAAACAGAAATTCACGTTTTCATGCACAATACCAGTCTGATGATTTCATGAAAAAAATCGCAAACCATTATGCACCTGCAAACTTAACGTACAAGCTTCAGTCGAGGACCTTCAGGTGGTATATTTTTTCAATGGGGACGATCGATTTGTGGAAAGGAATGGATGGTAACCAAGTATGGTAAGAGGTGACGAAAATGTCAGACAAAAACAGCTCAGTTAATTTGGCCTGCCACTGTTTCATTCGACAGTTTATATAGAGAATATTACACGGTGGCGAGAAGATATGAATTTTATGTTCGAGTGGCAAGAACAATATCTCACGAGTGAGTGCAGCGAACGAGTGAGATATTGCTCTTGCCACGAGAACATAAAATTCATATCTTCGAGCTAACGTGTAATATTCTTTTTATTATATAAACATACTGATGACGGCGTTTTTGATGATTTTCCGAAGATTTCCGAAGATTTTTCAAATTGTCCCGAAGACCAGACGAACGTTCCCGTTAACCTGATGCCAGTGAAATTATCGATACCTTCACATGTAAAAATATCGTATTTTTACGTGTGTTCAGATACCACATTTCTCGGTGGTAGAAATCCTTGTAAAACACTGCAGTTTATATAATAGAGTAATTTATTTTCACCTGCCAGACCATTTATTTTGCCTGCCATTTGGCCATTGGCAGGCCACTATTTCGAGCCCTGCACTCATTCATTGGTGATCCTCTTTTCTACCCTTTTCCCCTACTAAGAACTCAAGGAACTTTTTTTAAAACCAAAATTAACCAAGACATCAATAACTAACTGTAAAGACACCATACAAAATTTTATTGAACCTGCTTTATGCTTCACTAAGCTTACAAGAGAAACCAACTACAACTGCCCACAATCTGCTATCACCACAGGCTTGCTTGTCTTGCCACCTTCACTACCAACTGCCTCAATTTTTTTGACAACATCCATCCCGTCAACAACACTTCCAAACACCACATGTTTACCATCCAGCCATCCAGTTTTATTAGTACAAAGGAAAAATTGAGATCCATTTGTGTTGGCACCAGCATTGGCCATAGATAAAATTCCTGGAGAGGAAAGAAAGTAAAATTGAGAGACGTACATCTTCAATAAAGTTTTCATAAATCCTTGACACAGACATTCATAAAAATTAAGTAAGGAGTGTCCTACAGGATAACCAATAACCACAGGATCCCAAGATTTGGAGTTGCAATATTGCAATAATATATACCTTGAATTTTGAAACAAATTTTGGTGAAAAAAGCGCATTTTGTATAAGGATTATTAACCCTTTCACTCCTGGGGGCTGCATGTCTGAGCCCAAGACAGTGCCTTGCTATCCCTGGAGCTAATTAGGACACTTACACAAAATATTGACCAAAATCCAAACCATACATGCTCAGTAGAATTTTAGAGTCCTTGTAGACAGAACTAATAAGCTAAAATTGAACTTGAGATAACGTTCTTTCTAAAGAAACTGAAAGAATAATAATATTGTAAACATATGACACATGTTTGAGTAACAGCGCTCAAAAACTTCACGCGTTAAAAAAAATTCGAATTTGCCACTATTTCTGCTAGATGAGCACAGGGTCAATTTAACAAAAATAACAATAATAATAGCATAGGTGCAAATTACTCCTTAATTTTGGCGTGAAATTTCAGCGTTAATTTGTAATTTCACATGTGAAATTACAAAATTGCCATGGCAACCTAACATACGTCTCAGTGTCAAGATGGCGACAAAGTTTTAAAATGCCATGAATGAAGCTTTAGAAAACCTGAACACACGAAAGAGCACATCAAGAAGGATTCTAACAGGTATTTTGTCGAAAAACTCTGAACTTAAGCCAAATTTAAGCTCTAAACGATTGAGAGAGTGCAGGAGTTCTTGATCGATACGATCCAGGATAAACCTGTCAAAAATCCAAGATAGCTAACCTAATTCGTCACCCATGATATTAATAGGTAATCAAATGGTATACTCGTGAAATTAGGGAATAATTTCACTTGCGTTTTGTCCAAATCCTTGAAATTATTCCCTAATTTCACTTGTCACCATTTGATTACACATACTTATTATTTTATTACAGTACATTTAAAAATAGGCAAATAAATGAAATTTTACAATCCTACTATAGATTTACAATGTCTCCTTACTCTCTCAAATGAAAAGCTAAGTAATTGTCAAAAGGATTTTAGTTCAAGTGTCTGCACTGTGGTAATCATTGAAGCACTGCACTTTGCATAACGCAACATCACAATGTCGACACTTATTCCTCGTTGCAACTGGATATCCTTTCGGAGTTTTCCTCCCAGTAGTTTTGCACAAGACAAATTTCTTCTTTCTTTCTTCCAAAAGATACATCAATACCACTTTCTCCACTGCCGTCCGTCCGTGTAAGAACTGATCATAATAATTATTGATCTGCTCGGTTAAAGCCACCCATATTTTTGGTGTACACATCAGAGACAAATAGCTTTCCAATTTGAACATTTTGCCTGTTTTGTGTATGTTGTACTATCCGAGGCAGCTCATTTGGTGACATGTGGGTAGACCAAAATTAATGCTATATCCCGTTTATTGTGCCATTTTGTAAAAAGGAGGCTTTCTCTTTGCCAAATGACTGTTTCTTCAAGCTGGCGAAGTTTGTTTTTAGTGCATGGCGGCAGGTCTTTGCGTGTGCACCACACAGTCGAACGAGCGTATGTTTGTTGGTCGAGTAAATGGTCTAAAAGAATAGGACTTGAAAAATAATTATCAAAGAAAACATGATGATTTCCATTAAGAAAGGGACGCGCCATTTTCATCACTATATCATATCCCAGGCCGTGACTTCGCCTATTCTTCCCTTCGCTTCCTAAGTAAACAGAGAAATTTACAATGTAGCCATTAGAGGCATCAACCGCCATCCACACCTTTATCAGGGTTTATTCTAGAAATTGGCCTATGAGGGGCCCCCTTCTGTAATTTTAGGGGGGCCTTTTTGAAAGGGGTTCCCCCAACTGTCCTTAGTTAACTTAACATTCAGATTTGTAGTTTTGTGATCGATTCAACCGTTTGCTGCCATTTGCTCAGCTTATAAGTGAATACATCCCCATTTAGTAGCATTTCTATGCACTGCAAAAAATTTTTTGGTCAAAAACTCTTGGCTATAAGCTGAGACCCCCTCTTGGGCTCAAATTTCACTGAACTTTAACTTTAATTTGTGTAAAAATCCCTTGGCTTATAGCCGAATAAATATGGTAGGTTCACATTGATGTCATGGAGCTCCACCGTCCACCACGCTTCTTCAAGATCTTTGTTGCAATCGGCACTTTCACTGCCGGTTTGATGGTTGCCTTCTTCATCATTTTCCTCAGCATCTCCTTCAATACCTTCCAAATCGATGTCAGAATTATCTCCATCAATATTCTCAGAGTCTTCGTCAGAATCTCCGAAAATCGCTCTGAATTCATTGATTGTTACTTCCAGTTGCTGCACCATTTTCTATAATTCTCGCGAAGAAAAGCAAAATTTTTGGTGCTCAACAAAAGTAGAATTGCAAGTTAACAAGGCAAATAATGTTGTGAAATACTCTGAAAACTATTGCAACACTTTTATAAGCATTAAAGTTAAGGAAACCGGATACTTTTCAGAAGACTTCACAAAATTGTTTGCCTCATGACTCGGCACTCTGAAGTCTGCAGTCGTCACTTGCCAAACGAAATTCGCATCCCTCTCTCCCAGCCCAGGGAGGCTTTTCTTATGCATAGCACTCGTAATATGATTGGCCAATAGCTTAAGAACAATAGTTGTATTTTTGTTTAGCTCATATTCGCCCCTTACGGAGGAGAGGGAAGTCTCAAACAAAGGCATTTTGAACAGCCAAGTTTTGGCCGGTTCAGGAATAGTGACGTGTTCTCCGGTTGCCCGGTTCAGGAGTGAAAGGGTTAATTACTTTACATAATTATATTAATTTCAGTACTCTGGCCTCACACAGAGCCAAAATAAGGTAATTTCCTGTTTGTTGTTGCAGGCAATGAGAGAACCAGAGAATGTTGAAAGTGCATTAAATGTCTTATAACTCTTACCCGGTCCAGTATGCTTCAGTTGGAAGTTTTCATCGGCAAATTTTTCTCCATAGATGGACTTGCCACCAGTCCCATTTCCTCTCGTAAAATCACCGCCCTGTTTGGAATAATCAAAAGTCCCAGTGTTTTGATTATATCGCTAAAACTACCAGTCTAAACTTATGGGATTCGTTGGGATATTGAGAAAAAAATAGGATGAACAATCAGCACTAAAAAGCCAATGAGTATGAAAAACTCCTTTCTTGTATTTTCAAGTTTTTAAATTGTTTTGTATCAAATTATTAGGGCATTAAAATGCTGACATTGCCTGGGCCTAGGATCATGCCCTCTCCATAAGTATTTCTATAGGTGAGGTTACACGGGACACTTGTACCCTGGGAACTACCTTTTACCACAGTGTGTACCTTATTATAGGAAATTAACGCTCCATGAAATTAAGGTCTTGGAAATTAATGCAACTTAAATTAATGCAAATTTAATGGAAAACGACTTTCGAATAAAGAAAATTAACGCGAAAGAGGGGGTAGAATTTCATAATAAAGGAAATTAACGCGATTAATTACGTGAAATCAAAGGAGAAGATATTGACATCACTTCTGACAGCAGCAACGATGAAGATGAACTCGAAATATTGTAAACCTTCGCCCTAGCTTTTGTGAAAGATGAAAAATAAAGGGTAAATGGAAAGAAAGCAAGCTTGTAGTTAATGTTTTTTAGGTGTCAAGAATGTCTGGACAGGTTCCAAAATTGGGGTTAAAATACTGGAAATTAAGAGCATGGAAATTAACGCTGCACTTAATTAACGTCGCGGAAATTAACGCTCAACAAAATTAACGCGACATAAACTAGATAATAATCATAGATCAATAAGTGCGTTCGAGTTTTCTTAGCTCCAGATTAGCTTTTGTGTCGTCAAGCTTGATTTCAAAATCATGGAAGAGATCATGAATTAAAAGGTAAACATTCTTTTCGTAAAAAATGTTCTTCGCGTATACGGCTTCAAAATATCTCACTCATTAACTCTCTACTCTTAAAATGTCTTACTCTCCCTCAAGCATGGTCGATAAAAATGTTAAGTAGATCGTAAAAAGTTCTTTGTTGTTAAAAAGATAAACATGTCACTACAAACTTCGAAAAAATGGTAGCCTTGAAGGTTAAAAGTCTTGGCTTCTTGCGTGACACAACTTGAAGTGAAATCAATGATCATAGGAGCGACGGAAACATATTAGGTTTCTGCTAGATTACTGATGTCAGAGAACCGGACAGAATCTTTTGCCATTGTGCAAACTTTTCATCTCATGATTATTTTACGTTCATGTAGGTCAGTTCAACATGTTTTAAACTTAGCTTGCTTCAGCGAGCGAGATACTTATCATGCAAAATTACCCGCGTAGAGATATCAGACGTGAATAAAGCATTACAGTTGTAACAAACTGCACTGATACGCTCAAGCTTACTTTTTCGTGCATGAAAGAGGTTAAACTACAAATATGTAAATAGACTCAAACGCACGGGTAAACTTCTCACGGCCCAAATGTTACCTGGTCTTTATTTGTGTGTTTCTACGAAGTTCCAGCTCGATTTGAACAGCATTGACCGAAAAGTTTAGCAGAATCATCAGCTCAGTGATAAAACCCGCTTAGAAAACAACTCCAAAGTTCATTCTTTTGCCGAACTCAAATATTCCCGTGTAATCATCTAGTTGACCTTGATGGAACCAGTGATGCACGTGATTGCCATATGACAATTGCTTATGACGTAAAAAATAGTTGTGTGCGCATGTCCACCAGGTGAGCCCGCAATTTCTTTGGCCGGCTATTGGGCTTAAAATTCGTGCGCGCGCTTAATAATTATTCAAAATGGCGCAGATTTTGAACATCGCCCGTCCAAGTAACCAAAAATCTCGAATCTTCACGCCTGGCATGCACAGGTATCCCATCGACCACAGGATCCCCAAAGATTACGAAGCGTTCTCCTAACGTCGAACGCAATTAACGCGAATTTTAACGATTCGCGTTGATTTCATGGAGCGTTAATTTCCTATAATAAGGTATAACCACAACTTATGTCTTTTGAGAAGAGAGCATGATACACTTATTGGTAGCCTGCAATGCCGGTGTATCTTGCAGCACAAACTATCCTTTTTCAGGAATAATGCTATCCCGCCATCTTGGGCGTTATTAATACTACCAGAGAGTTGGGGCAAGTGGTCTTTTTCTTGGCTTTTCAAGATGATGCCCATGATCAATGTACTTCTGCGGTTTGAAGGCTAACTTATTGGTCAGATCTTAAGTAAAAATACCAGAATATGGTGTTTTTTCCTGACTGGCCCAGAAACAATTGTCAGAAATAGTTCTGCTCTGATTGGCTAAGATTGGGGTTGATGTACTTCCCACTGGATTCAGATTCATGTAATGGTGTTTTCATATTATTATTACTGTTTAAGTTACTACCTGGCACATAAAACCTGGAATTACTCGATGGAACTTGCTTCCCTTATAACCAAATCCCTTTTCACCGGTGCACAATGCACGGAAATTCTCTGCAAATTGAATTCATAGAATTGTTTAACTAGAAGTTTCCACTGGAAAGTGATGTACTGTAGGTAAGGCAAACACAGAAGAAAAGAATTATCGTTTAAGATCAGAGAGATGTGTTTGCATCCTAGCTGATCATGAGCATGTTTCAAACTTAACTCTTGGCACATGTCACAATAGGCCATTTGCACAATGGTGTCATTTTACTACTATGACCAGTCCCACAGGGCTCTGTTTTAGGTCCCATTTTATTCTTGGCATATATAAACGACCTCCCCCAGTATGTTAAAACTAAAGTTCGTCTCTTCACAGATGACACCATGATCTATTTAGCCATCGAGTCCACGAATGATTGCATCCAGTTACAACAAGATCTCCTTAACCTGAAAAAGTGGGAATCGGATTGAAAGATGGAGTTCCATACTGCAAAATGTAATGTTTTACACATCACAACAAAGTGTCATCCGTATGTTCACGTCTATAAGCTTAAAGGACAAGTCTTGGACCCTTTGCATTCTGTCAAATACCTTCAGTGTGTCTACCTAGCTGACGACCTCTACTGGAACGAACATATTAAAGCCATCTCAAACAAAGCTAACAAAACTCTTGGCTTTCTAAAGCAGAACTCAATACATTGCCCACCCAGGACTAAGGAAACAGCATACAAGGCCCTAGTGCACCCAACTCTGGAATACTGTTCATCTGTGTGGGATCCACATACAGCTTAAAACACAAACACGGTTGAGATAGTCCAAAGAAGAGCTAAACACTGGGTTCTAAATCACTTCGACCGCAAAGATAGTGTAACTGAAATGCTTTCAACCCTGAAATGGAAGACACTAGAAAGTAGGCGAACCATAGCATGTTTACCTATACTGTATAAAATGCGACACAGACTAGTCTCTCACAAAGTTAAGATACCAGTCTACAATCAGCTGGCCATTCTTACTCAACTTGTTCCATAGAGTACTCTTACACATAGCCAACAGCCATTAGAGATTACTATAAAATATTCCTTCTACCCAAGGACAATTACAGAATGGAACAAACTCCCAAGGGATATAGCATTGTCCAATTCGCTGGCTGCTTTTAAAAATGCAATTTCAAACATTTATTGACACTTTTATTACTTTGCGCTCATAAGCGACATTACTGTCACTTCTGTTTTCCTTTGTTTTT